GGATTATAGTCCAGGGTGATTTTGTCCAGGGTCAATTATTGTCCAGGGGTCATGATTATTGTCCAGGGTCATGATTATTGTCCAGGGATCATAATCATTGTCCAGGAGTTATTATAATCGTCCACGTTACCATCAACAGGGCCATTACGTCATATGACAAAATATGAAGAGCATTTATCACACCCTTACCCTTTATCTCTGACATCAGGGAGGGCAATAATGCAAGTATGATACGTTTCTTTAACCACAGAGAAGTGTGTGTGTGTGTGTGTGTGTGTGTGTGTGTGTGTGTGTGTGTGTGTGTGTGTGTGTGTGTGTGTCCCATACTTATAAAGTTACGGCTTTATATTCCCTCGGTACATCAGTGGGAAGGTCTAAGTATCCTGACCTAATCTCACCTACCATTTCCGACTCATGGGCTCATCGTAACACGGGGTAGTGTAGTTCGCCTTCCACACAGAAAACAGTTGCAGGAATACACACCTACAGGTATCGAGTATAATCTTCATACCAGCAGGTGCGAGCCGTGTATACCAGGAAGATCGAGTGTATGTCTTCCTCACAAACCGGTTTTAAAGAGCCAGTCTAGTAGTGCATTAGCGTTCTTCAGGCGGGGTTCTCGGGGTCTCTTGTTCACGGTACGCCCCAGCCAGCCGGTCTCCCTTACAAGGCTTAAATGGATAGCCTGTTTGTGGACGGCCAAACCATCTTCAACCGTGCTTGAGTGTTTAGGAGTGACAGGAATGAGGATAGAATGGTAAATAAGTAAAGAGGGGGATTGCCTAATATTCAACTAGTTAAAAGGGGCACACACACACACACACACACACACACACACACACACACACACACACACACACACGGAAAGATTGGTATATATGTAGATGGATATACGAAAAGATACACGATACACCCTGTGGAAAGATATACTTAAAAGAAAGTCCACAAATACGCATACAAAGAAGAAAAAAGGGATGTAAGGAAGGAGGCGAATGTGTAGATAAAGTAGGCTGATGGATAAACGTGTAAGTGGAATAATAGGGCAAGTAGGTAGGTTGGTGGGTAGGTGCGAGGCTGGATGCGCCAACATACCTTATATCATGTTGCGTCTGCAGTAAGTAGCGTTAATACACAGGTAAAGTGTCAGGACCACGGAGGGAGGGCAACAGCGCCTACAGAAGCCCAGTATGTTTTAGCTAAAGTCACTTCAGGTATAACTGAATTTAGAAACAACTTCAGTTAAAACGTCAATGATAGAAATTACCTGTTCTACCACAGCTGTCACAGTGTAACCCATGTTACTCATATCTCGTACACATATGTAATCAAACCGGCACGGGCCCAGTTTGACACAGTTTTAAACATCAGGAGAAAAAAGAGAGGAGTTTTAATCCTCATCAGTTCATACTTCAATATCAAAAGAAGGTTCGTGAGAGTTGTGACAGCGGGTTCACTCGCCAGCATGACTAGCACCTATATAATGCGGGCTGGTACAGTACTCAACCAAGGTACTTATAAAACATCCCTCAAAAGTTTGTATGAGAAATGAAAGTGAAATATGACAACAAGACGTGTCCGAGACCAATGTGACAATTCCAGGCTGTCATTTTATGAAAAGAAAATGACGTTCTTTATCGTCAAAACTGTTCTGAACACATTGTATTTCATCACAGTTTGAAGGTTGACCTTTACAGCATCTATAAATACTGTACATCTTAGCTTAAACAGTCCCAATAACTGAGACTGAAGCTATGAAGACATGTACGCTATACGAACAATTGCGTGCAATCTAGAGTAATATTATCTTTGTAGTCTATAACAAATTAATTTTTCAAGAAAGGAGGGGTAGAGGTTTAAGCCGGACACCATCACCAGCATACCAAGTGCAGCAGCCACCAGCAGCAATAAGACTACCAACAAAAAATGATCAATAATAATACTGGAATCTTCTGCAACACCAAACTGAAAACAAATGGAAAAGACAGACAAAACACCACAATCTTGATAGAAACTGCCAGCAAGGTGAACTGTTTCAGTAAACTAAGTAAATGTCAGTAGCATCAAACTAGCACAGGGGATATATTATCAGCCAGAAGGAAAGAGTAACAGTAGGAGCAGAGTCGCTCCCCGGATGAACCTCACCTCAGCTTCCCGCCATGATGCCGCCCGACACTGGCTGGCTGGGCGCCGTGGGCGGGCGCCAGACCCGTTACATCCGTGTCGGTACGCACCAAACCCAACAATTCCTTACTATACCTAACTATACCATTACGTTGCTCTTACTTTTTTTGTTTTTTTACATGACCATCCAGGTGGTCGTCCGAGATGAGGTGTTCTGAGCAGGCAGCTTGTGTTGTGCTCTCGTTACGATGAACATGATGAATGGCGTGGTATGTCAGTGTTGCCAATACGGGATCAGAGATTATGGATCGAATTATTTCCTGAACCTGGTAAAACATATCTCGAGAATGAACACATGTCTCAATATAAATCGTAATTATAGGTAAATTTACCATATTTCCTTCCACAGGACTGAACTATATTCCAAGAAATTAAATTTCTGGAGACATTCATATCTCATAAGTCAAAATATCATAAAATACAAAATGTAGCACAAACATATGACGCGCGCACAAAAAATCCAACACCTTGCTGAAATCAGATTCCTCCATTCCTTTAACAATCGTGTATCAAGCATCGTGTTCCTAGAGAAGGTTACGGCTTCTTTCAGACCACGTTGATCCGAGGGCCAGCCCCAACCCTCCTCCCTCCTTCCCTTTATCAACATTAAAAAAAAATGGCGCCAATTCCTCATCAACAGGGTCATACCACCTTATCTCATCACAAGATAACTCTAGTAATAATCTCAAATAAACATTCCCGGAAAAAATGCTACAATGCACTTTACTGGGAAGAAGAAAATAAAGTAAGAATAGGTAATGTGGCAACAGGTGTGGTCGGGCAACGAACCAAGACGTCTCCCATACAAGCGTCTTGCCACACCGCCCCACAACACGCGGCACCACTGCACGCTCGTGACTCCCTCTGCACGTAAATATTAAAACTCAAAACAATAACAATGAACTATAACACACATAGACTCAGGAAATCACTTCAACATTATCACGAATGACATCAATAGGACTCGGTGCAAGAGGCGTATATAATACAACCGTGTATCTCAGTAACACTTACGTCACTTGTTAGTCCACATGTTCTTCATAATTATGTGGTAGGAAACGGCTGTTACGTTATTATTGTTAAGCGTGTGGGCTACGGCGAATGGCTCCTTAATACAAACCTCAAAATATCACTTCATCGCTAATGGTCGTTAAGTATTCAGTAAATACAAAATACAGTAGTTTGAAATGTAATTTGTTATAAACGTAAGAACCGTCAACAGTTCAAAAGTAAAATGAATCAATAGAAAAACAGAATTTGCAGCATTTTTAAGTAAAGAAATTTTATTGCCAATTCCGTAACAGAGCTGGGCTATTTGCTGTGTCCCTTCATACAAGAGAACAACACACATCATAAGAAAGGTAACTGTGGGATCAAGCCTCAACACGGTTTACTCCTCAGTTCCGTACATTCTTGGCCAGGGTCACGTCACGGGGCAGCAGAGCACCAATGGCCATAATTCTTCCCTACTTTGCCTCTTGCAAATAATACTATAGAAAGTTTACCACACGGAGAAGGGAGGACTGCTCCTACACCATCAAGACGGCTGTATTTCCTGGACTAACATCGTGGTAGAGTTTACCGGTGTATATAGCTACCGTTTCGGCTAAGTATGTTATTGCTTGTTCGTACATTACTTACCCTGGATGCTACAGAACAACATTTGGTGTTTGTGTTTACAGTCTCTTGATGTTTGTGTTTACAGTCTCTTGGTGTTTGTGTTTACAGTCTCTTGATGTTTGTGTTTACAGTCTCTTGATGTTTGTGCTTACAGTCTCTTGATGTTTGTGTTTACAGTCTCTTGATGTTTGTGTTTACAGTCTCTTGATGTTTGTGCTTACAGTCCCTTGATGTTTGTGTTTACAGTCTCTTGATGTTTGTGTTTACAGTCTCTTGGTGTTTGTGTTTACAGTCTCTTGGTGTTTGTATTTACAGTCTCTTGATGTGTTTACAGTCTCTTGGTGTTTGTGTTTACAGTCTCTTGATGTTTGTGTTTACAGTCTCTTGATGTTTGTGTTTACAGTCTCTTGATGTTTGTGTTTACAGTCTCTTGATGTTTGTGTTTACAGTCTCTTGATGTTTGTGTTTACAGTCTCTTGATGTTTGTGTTTACAGTCTCTTGGTGTTTGTGTTTACAGTCTCTTGATGTTTGTGTTTACAGTCTCTTGGTGTTTGTATTTACAGTCTCTTGATGTTTGTGTTTCCAGTCCCTTGAAGTTACACAACCAAAACATATAAGTACTCCACTGTTTCTTTACTTAAGTCTAAATGTGTTATGACATATATACTGTAATTGTTAATTTATACAAAATGGAAAATTGAAGAGCAACCAAGGTGATAAACTGAAGAACAAGATGTCGAAAGTGGCGGGATATTCCCACACATATATTTCACCAAACACGAAATGATACACAGTGAGACACATTCACCCTTCGAAAACCTTGACTCACCGTCTCAGTTGTCAGTTCATGAGCCATCGGCAGCGACTCAGTGGAGGTAAGAACACCAGCGGTCGTCTTCCACCTCGCAAATTACAATGGTCCACTGATTGAGATCTTATATTTTACGAACTTGAATGGAATTCCCTTTCACTAAATCACATGTCGATGACAGTCAGATATGTAGAAAAATGTTGCCGAGATTTGTGAAAGGACTTGGTCAAACACAGATCCTCTGTCTACACACTGGCGACAGAAACAAAGTGAGAGAGAAATACTAAAGACATTTGGAGAGAGGAGGAGTTCCCATTAGTCCAGGACTCCAAGTGAAGGACCAGGGGGATGTTATGGATAACAGCAAACAAACAAACAGGTACACACGATATTACGATGACCACTTGGTCTGCGCAGCTCTGTGACACCCCAGTTGCCTTGCACCACCAGTCACTGGGTCGGACAGGCCATTCACCGTGGTTGGTTCTTACCAGACATGGGGTAATCTGTAATAGTAATCGATTACAGTTTTTAAGTAATCATGTTCGAAATCGATTACATTCTTATTTTTGGCAAAGTAATCATAGATTATATTCAAAATGTAATAGTAATCACGATTACAATAGTATCACATACCGGTACTTCATTTCCTTTTCTTATAATACCGAGCTCAATATTTTCAATATAGTCATCTACATTCGGTCATTTACCGTACATGACGCGACAAACATTCACCATCCACAGAACGTGCGAGCACGCAGACTTAGGCTAATCATTTTTATAAATTAAGTGACGCTTCAGCAACAGTGAACTTGTTTATTCTTATGAGATTAAACGAGATTAAGTAAGTATATCTTAGTATGTAGTATATCATACACTTAATTTTATCAGAGCATTAAATTACTATCCTCTTATAAGCATTAGTGTTAATAACATTCCAAAACTTCAGAACACTTCAGTTAGTTAGGTCAGATACATTTCTGTATTTATAATTCCCATATTAATCTTATGAAAATTTATATCCATCTACTAAAATTAAGATTTTTTCTTGTCTATTAAATGCCTGCACCATTAAGTATAATGCACCACGTCTACCTTTTTCATCTCGGAAAATATGATTAATTGTACCAGGTTGACAAACAGTACAGTAAATTGAGTTTTTGTAGTACGTTCGTTTATTAATGCACATTCCTTTTGAAGTAATCATGAATACGCATCATGTACCGTAATCGATTACATCCGGTTTTACTGTAATCATAAAATTACCATATAATTGTAATCGATTAAATTACCGATGTAATCGCCCCATGTCTGCTTGACACCCAATTCCATCTTGGAGAAATATCATTTTCAGCAGCTGATGTCTGTCATGCATTACCTTTCACGGTTCCACGAAAGCTTGGTAGTGACCTTGGCGGAGCATAGTGCTGGCCGCCGGTGAATGAAACCAGTTAATTTGGACACCCTGCCACTACCGTAAACACAGCAGCGCTCGCGAGGGATATCAACATGTAGCTCCTGTCATCCTCCACCATACAATGACAGGCTTTTCAAAACTATACCAGCCGTGCGTTCGATCGTCCTCTGTCTACAGGGATTGTCTTTTATGGTTGGAGCATGGACCAACTTGGGTGTGGGTGGCGACTACCCCAGCACCGGTGGACGAGGAGACTACCAGGTTGGCCTACTTAACTAAGGTCCGGGGGGAGCATTATGACACACCACGCCAGATGGTATGTGTGCCCACCTACCACCTCACCCAACTGACAAAATTAAGACACGCGGAGTCGAGTTTGACAATTATGAAGTGATGACAAAATCATTATAATTTTTTCCGTGGTGCCCTCTTCGTTGGTGGGCTCTAAGGTGGCTCCAGAGACCAATACGGGGGATGGTGGTCTACAAAGGTTGTTTTGTGGAGTCCAGGATATAGTCACAGGAAAAAATTCACAAAAAAGTCACAGAACCTAACAATACCTAAACTAACCTAACCTATTTTATTACTTTAATTGTCAATGGTATTTAAATAAAATGAATCTTTTTACTAACCGAAAATGTGATTTTTTTTTAACTATTTTCGTTCACCTTTTTGTGAGACCATTCATACCGTCATTTCATATTATTCTAAATATTCATCGAGAACATACTGGGAGGAGCCGGTTTCCCCACTTTTGTATCACCTCGAGCTTCCAGATGGGCGAGTTATTTCATGGTTAAACATTGATGAGAGACAACAGCATGTTGAGGATCGCGGATGGCGGGTCTCTTGATGCGGCCAGGTGGAGGTGTGGGACCTGGTTCAGCCTCCTGCCACACACCAGGTGGTGCTGTCTGCCTCCGACACAAGAAAACAAAATACAAGACAAATTACCGCCACTCAATTTATATATAAAATATGTAATAAACGCGGTATATATTTCACCCACTTCAGTTACGTCTCAAGCGATGTGTGTAAATAGTAAGCACCGAATGCTATGCCTGGATGCCTACATAATTATTACCTAGGAGTGCAAAAAATCCCAGGTAATGATTTATCTGATTTACTTCCGGCTCACTCACTAGAGGCGGCCATGCCGAGGGAAGAAGAGAAGATAAACAATCGAGGTTTCACAAGTCAAACACCCAGAACTGTGTAGTGTGAGGAGTGCTTCCTGCAACACGTGCATCACCTTACACTATGTATTGTACAGTATGTGTCGTACTCCACAACGAACGCCGTCTGACCTAGCTATTGTAGCTATTTCTTCTTAATTACGCCACAACACGCTCAGATCCTAGTCACCCACGACTAAACTCTACACAAACAAGAACAGCATTACTGTAGTATGCAGCAAGGGCTTATTAAAGCACAGTAGTTGTTTCAGCAGCACCTTCTCCGTGCTCTCTACCTGCTGCGGTGCTGCCACCAAACAACCAAGTAAGGCTGGCCGAGACTTAGCTAAAGCTTTATCACATTCGATGAGATTTTACCCTACAAATGACCTCGGGGTTCAGAAGCCTGGGAGTTCTGGTAGGGGCGGCCATACTCGGTATCCCTTGGGCCACGTTGGCCATCAGACTGCGAGAGGACCAATGACCCTCTACGCAGTGGTCCCCAAACTTTTGTAGGCTCTGGGCCACATTTATCATTGTAAATATAGTGGGGGGCACCAAAACTTTGGATCTATTGTACATAAAAAAAATCATAATACTGCACAGCTATTTGCAGTTTTACACGTCTGACTGTTACCAGTTACACACTACTGGACAGGACGCGTGTACAGGTATTTACCCCTGTAAGAAGGCTGGCTCTGGGCCCGGTCTGGGGTAAATACACACGTCCTGTACACGACAGTTGTATCAAGTTATTACATATTTTCATTAATTTCGCTCTTACAAAGAATCCCAAATAATTCACACTTTTCTAATAAACCCTCGCGGGCTGACATAGTAAATGATTCCGCGGGAGCCAACTACAGGTTAGGGACCACTGACTGCTCTTACAGCAGCAGAGGAGATCGCTTACTGACAATGAAACCAAAGTCCAGGGCGCGATAGCTCACTTAGCCCAAAATCTTAAGTGGGGGGCAAAGTGAAAACTAAGTTCGCATGCTGAAAACAAACTTACGATTGTCGTAGCCCAAGACAGCTGACACCTGTCAACCCATCAGAGTGCAAATTACAAATATTTTTCTGTCCCTTCGACCAATCGCAGAGCGGATGCTATGATGCAATAGCACTACACTTGAAACACACATGGGAGACCACATTCACCTCAATGCTACTGCAACACAATATTAGGTGCGAATCAACAAAACCAAAACTGAGGTTTAATTATTCTTTTATTCTATATTTAATTAGATACCTTCTCTTCTTTATTGTGTAATTATTTTTTTCTACTTTCAATCAATCATATTCTGTTCTTTCTTTATTAATGTCTTACCTTCTTTTTTCGTACTTTGAGAGAGATGAGGAGAGGCATAGGAGTGTCATGTGTGTGTGGGGGCGGGTAGACCGTTAGGTTACATTTGGAACACGCTGGATAGCTTCAAACACAGGTTGGATGGATATATGAGCAATAGGGGGTTGGGTGTAAACGGGACTGCCCAGTATGGGCCAATAGGCCCGATGCAGTTTCCTCCATTCTTATGTTATCCTCCCGACTTTGTGTAAACAAAAGAAGTTGGTGGAGGTAAGATGTGTGTTATCATTACCCGTTAAAAAGAACAAAACTTAAAGTATGCATCCTTTTGAAACTTAAGCAAGTCATTTAACTTGTGTAAACTTCCCCAAAAGGAAACTTTCCACGGCCCTGAATGACATAGTATAAAATGTTCTAGCAAACGCTTACTAACCAACGCTTCCAGTTGTTAGAATAACAGTTGATAAGAGCCTAGTCATTCAAGCTGTAAACTGAGCACACCAATACGTTGTCAACAACTTTTTAAACAAGGAACACAAAGTGTCCAGCAGCTGGACGTTCACGTGGAAATTTTTCTCTAAAAAACTGCCGTGGCAAGCTTTCTGTATCTCACGGACAGCCAGCTCGCTTTTACCTCAAGTATAGTGTTTAGTTACAGCAGCCGTGATCACATGGCAGCAATATCACGAAGTGTAACTTTTCCTTCATTAGGCTCCTCCGCCCCACCAAGCATGTCGGTCGTCGTGATTTTTTTTTTTCGACACATTTTTCTCCATGAGAAACTTTCTCTCGCCAAGACAAATAAAATAAAATAAGAACATTCTAAGTAACTTGATAAATTCACATAAGAATGTGTCTTGCACTTAACATGCACAATGATTCACGCTGAGATAATCACCTTAGCTCACCAGAAAATATATCAGACCAGAGGTCAGAATTTCACATTACGCTGACTGGTTACAATCTTCTCCAACACAAAATGATATTCGAAAAAGAAGCCACAACCTTACAACTTGTGCGAGAGGAGCTTGTCCATACCACACCCTCCACATCAGTTACAAGACAAGACATATCAAGGATTAGTTGGAGAAATGTTCCTGTAGAAGATATTGAAAGCCTCCACCGTGTTCCCAGTCATATTATGACAGTGCAGTACAAGCTGCGAGTGGCTACACGAAGGTGAAGCAACACCAACGTAGGCAGTCTATAACATGTAAATTTTGTAACTATGTTATCAACAATGTTGTGAAAATTACACTAAAATGTTTGCAATATTAGTGTTGGGGTCATTATCGCCAACAGAAATATGTCAAGTAAACTGATTGGTATGAACTGTGTGTTTATTTCACCTTACTTGCCAACAGTGTTGACATCTTTTATCTAACATGTTGACGACAATGTTACCAACAATGTTGTGCTGGTGTGGGTCCACCTTAAGAGGAACAGAAGACAGAATATATATTACTGTAGATCCGGGATGTCTGCTAAACAATACTACTAATAATGTAATTATGTAGCTACATCAGAATAAGATAGAAAAACATGAGATTGTCTCCCTACTATCATCGTCCGTCCAGTCCTTCCAGCAGCTGAGATAAAGAAACACCACAGAAAAACATGGAAATTCTATTCATGACGAACAGTAGAAAGTATGATAACATACAAAATATATGCCTGAATATTAATGAGAACAGGAAGAGTACGGTAAGTTAAAGGAAGAAGAGGAAAATAAAAACCATAATGATTAAGGAAGACAAAAAAGAATAAGTACATGACGAAAGAACCGTAAGGTAAGCTGCAGGTACACGTAAATACCGACACAACCTTCTCATCACAAACACAATAGGACCCAACAATGTACAATACTCTCGTGTGTCCCTCAAAAATGGTGACATGATGCTTTACGTCACAATCCACCAACCTGAAAATACCTACGTCACAATCCACCAACCTGAAAATACCTAACAAAAAGGAGGAACAGTTTACGCCACAAACAGTAATGTATGTATCTACAGAAGAGTAGGAACAGTTTACGCCACAAACAGTAATGTATGTATCTACAGAAGAGTATGTGGTCGAGATGCAGGACAAAGTTTGTACCCAAAGTCATAAATATAATAAATCGTAGCAACAAACATAAGGCGATAACCTGCCCTCACATCTATTACCAGAGTTGTATATCTCTTCATTTTTAATTGTTGATGACTAGTGTATTTACTAACCTTGAAATGAGCGCTTAAAGACGTTGACTGTTAAAGCCTACAACGTCAACAACGGTGCATGCCATTATGAGATGCCAGGCCCTGAGGTTGACAGGTGTTTAGAAATTAACATTCTTCGTAAAACAATGACTAATAGTTTGAAATAATAGTAATAACAATAATAATAATAACCCAATTATTGATACTTGACCGTGTAAAATCGTACAGCACACTTCAAATTTGTCAGCGGTTATCTATGGAAGCTGGCATTTTATTCTGGCTAACGCCAGACGATTATATTCACCTGAGAGAAACCTGTTGTCACTCAATTGGGTTAATGCGTACTACAAGTGTTTAATAATAACTGTAACCAGACAGACGGTACGAAATTGGAACGAGTACCAGCATAATTCCAAACAGGTATTTGCGCGATGTTACGTCACATTAGGTTTGGCAGTAATGAATGACGATCAACTGCATTAATACTAAGAAAGAGAAAACACAACAATGCCCCCCCCCCCCTCCTTCCCATGGACAGAGGTATATATAAAAAAGAATTCAGTAGTTACAAGCAAAAGTAATTTCCTGTCGTGGTAACGGCCTGCGGTGAAAGGTGTTGTGACCCCAGCACAAACTTCTTAATTGTTTGATCAGCTGTTTCCTTCTTGGCTGACGGCCCTGGCGTAGTTCGTCGACTCGGCACCAAAAATTACTTAAGACGGCAGGTAATATTTAATTGACCTGTAGGAGTGAGTCTTCAATTACGGGACCTGCAGCTGCTTTGAACGGTTTCTAAAAGCACCTTTCTATGCCAGATGTAAATAATAAGATCGTCAATTATACTGGAGACTATGTATATTAACAACAACAATGTTACTAATAATACAGTAATAATAATAATAATAATAATTGTAATATTAATATCGTAATAATATTTATAAACATTATGGATAACACCTGGGGAGGCTGTGTGGCAATACAAGATCATCTGCCCAGATGTAAATAAGACGATTAAACAGATAACGCGTAGTTGTAGGCTGATAAGAGGAGCCATTCACCCTAATACAGGTCAGTCCCATTAAAATACAATAATTATTCGATCTACAGCAACAGAGTACGACATTAATTACTTAAGTTAAAAAAAATTTAAATGTAGATGGTATGTTGTATTATATAATGAGTTTTATGTTCTTACGATTATGATATATCTTGTTACTCAATGACAGCCCAAGAGTTTTTTTCTGACATAATTTTAAGCATGATATTTCACGCAATCAGTTACGTGGAAGGATTGAGTCAATGGTTAATGGGTTTAATTCACCTTTACTATAGATTAGAAGACAAAGATTCAGTGGTTATCATGGCCATTCAGAGTCTAGCTGTCCTCACCTTGACCTTGTAACAGTGGCTTGAAGCAGTTGTTGGCTGACACCTTGTGTATTACTGTGCGACATGTACAGTCACCCAAAAAAGTCCTGTCGCGAACCACGATTCAAACTCGTGAACCCGAAGCAGTAGACACTGATACATTATTCTGTCCATAAAGATTCAAGAGTCTGAATCTCGGGGTTCATGGTTCGAGACAGGACTTTTTTGGGTGACTGTACCTTGCTGAGACAGTTCCACCCTCTACTATTCATCACCAGCATGTACAAATAACGCACTTCGGACACAAAGTACCTGGAAGCTTGTCTTTGTGGTGACGATACGCCAGGTAAACCAAAAAATACGCACCTGGTAAAGTTGATGATTTCCTGATTATGTACCGCCGCTGAGGGGTGGGTTTGTAGCCTTACTCCGCCCACCTCACTTGTTACTAACGCATCTATGCCTTCACCACAATGTCTACCACACCTTACACACTCACATCAGTAACAATAATAAAGTCAACAACACTGGCAGCCTTTGACAACCAATTTCAATTGAGTATGTAAGATTTATTTTATCACTGGAGTCACACAGTTCTTGGCTCCCTCGCCGAGTGACCACGTTAGACTGGTACTCAAGTGTAAACTCTGGTTGGTGTTGAGGTGATGCCAGGTAGCCCTTCAAGCACCACACTTACCTTTATTATATATCCTAATATTTACACGAAAAGAGTTTGTACTTATGCAAACAATCTTTTATTTCAATTGTGCTAAATAATTTTATTATTACATTTTATTGTCGAGAGATATGTTAAAAATAAACAATAAAAAAAGCGGCGTGCTAACTTGACGTCGACCCGCCACCTAGCGGAGGCGGGAGGAACGAAATGAACCCCAGGGCAACAGACCACACCATGTTAAGAGAATATAAATGTTTCGCTGATCTCCGTGTGTTTAGTCTTGTGGTAAATACTATGCCTCGAATACGAAAGCGTAAATAGTTCTCTATGACGAGGATATATACAGTATATCACATTAATGTCGGTTTATAATTTTGAGCAGTTAGAAAAAATGTACCAGGAAGTACTGGCGTCACCAGTGAATGAATGTACTGTATTAATTACACAACGGGCACAAAACCCGTTTCTATTTAAACACCAATCGCAATAAGCTTTCATTAAGAGGCGTATGAATGTTCTTCCATGAATATTATAAACTCAAGGAGTGAGGTTTAACGGGCAGCGTGAAGTTTAAGTATCACGATATTTACCAGAAGATATTACAAAGTTAAAGTAATATTAGTAGCTAAGACCAAACATTGCCCTAAAAATAAGATATACCTGTGCATATTAACATTGTATATGGCCACAAGTTTTGGCAGTCTACTGGCATCCATGTAAAATGGTCAGTCCAACGAAGTTGTTCATGGATAATAGTAACCTTTATGCTCCTACAGTTGGTGTCATTGAGAATACATTACTGGCATTTTTCTCGTCTTCCCTGCGAACCTACTTTTCATTTTATTTACGTAATCACTGAAGGTCACAGTCATCTACATCAGCCAACTTTCTTGTAATAATTTCAAATGACCTTTAATATCTCAACCAAATAATAATTCATAAGGAGAATATCCCAAACGTCCTTGTTTAGTACTTCTAATATCATGTAAAACATACCGGGGTATTCCTTCATCCCAATCATTTGTGGTCTCTAAACAGAATTTTGTCAGCATGTTCTTGAGCGTTTGGTGAAAGAGCTCGAAAGTACCTTGACTTTCAGGATGGTATGCAGATGCTAAATATTGAGTGACACCTAAAGTGGCCATTACTTCTTGAAATATCCCAGAAGTAAAATTTGTTCCTTGATCAGACTGGATAACGCTGGGAAGACCAAACCGAGGAAAAAAGCCAATCAACACAGGTACAGTATTATTGACTTGGATGTAATACGATACAAAGGAATTGTCTTTGGATAACTAGTAGTGGCACACACAATAGTTAAGAGAAATTTATTACCAATTTTTGTTTTAGGGAGGGGACCAACACACTCTATGATTACCTTGGAGAAAGGTTCACCCACCACAGGAATTGGCTTTAGTGCTGCAGGTTTGATTATTTGTTTGGGCTTGCCTGCCATTTGAAAAATATGACAACAATGACAGTACAGTACTGTATTGTGCTACTTCAGATGTTACTCCTGGCCAATAAAAGTATCTAAGGATCTTATCAGAAGTCTTTTTAACTCTAGGGTGTCCTCCTATAAAGTCATGAGCCAAATTTTGAACATTACCGCTGTAGCAGGATGGTATCTGATGAACTCTCCAAGCGTCACTAGCTGGAACTTGATACGCTGGACTTGATATAATAGTACACAGGGTTATCTTTACTCTCCGATTCTGTAGCAACTTTGGTACACAAAGAAATTAACTCAGGATCAGCTTTTTGTGCATCAATTTTTATTTTTATTTATTTTTTTGTTGCACAGTAGCTAGTTTATTGTGCACCCTTTACGTATCCTGTGAGCGGTAGCACAAAAAGGATTACAGAGTAGAGGCCACAAAGGGTGTTTATTGGACCCCAGTGATTTTGATATCATTATGGCAATGAATGTTACAGAGTATTTCCAGTACATAGTTTGTTAAGTTGGTACATAGAATTTTGATTAGGTACTACACCTGTAGATGCAAAGTGTGGATACAACCTTAGTATATCAGCTATCTTGTCATCAGAGATAAAGTGCTGTGCCATTGCATACACAGTGTGCTTGGATTTATCCCTATAAGGTTCTATTTTTTCAGTCTAAAATGTAGTGTTGGAGTGTGTGGCCATATGTTTGGTCACACACTTTACATTTAGTTTTGTTCATATTGTAATCTAATGATCGTGTTACTTGTTCCGTAAACATGTTTTACTTGATACATCTCATCATGGTAAACAATGGACTGAGTAATGCCTGTTTGCACTTTGTCTACTGGCTTCAAATTCATCAGAAAGCTCTTTTCTGATTACAGTTTTTAAGGTTCTGTTTGACAGTCCTAGATTGTACTCAACATTGTCATTGTTGGGTGCGAGTGTAGCGAAGGCATCAACTCTACCATGTTCACTAATGCCCATGTGAGAGGGGATACACAATAGCTTGATCCTGATACCCTCGTCAACAAGACACACATCTTTGTGTCTGGCTTCAGAGAAAAGCGGGTGACAATCTCAGTTTAGGGTATCACGAGCAAATAGTGAGGATAAGGAGTCAGTGATGATGGGACTGTCAGTGGTAGTGTCTTCAACAAGTTACAGGGCTGAGTATGGCAAATAGTTCAGTTTGTAGAGTGGATGCCCAGTTACTAAATCAAGTTCCTTTCTCTATTACATTACCGTTAGGCTGAGTCACAATGACAGCACTTCCATCCCTCCCACAGACAGTGTTAAGAGAGCCGTCAGTGTAGATGGTTTGTATGATGTTATTTTCAGTCTGTAGGTTATGTGTGTGGTCAAGTGCTCTCACTTTTGCAGTGTGTTGGAGATAAGGATTATGTGTGGTCAGTCGTTTTGGCGGGTGCGTGGGTGTTGTGATGTCTAAGGGAACTGTCCACCAGGGTGGCAGGAAGCGCTGCTGTGTCTCAGAATTTACATCACATTCCACATTACTTGACAACTCCCCCATAGCCTTTGCAGCTTGACAACAAGTGACTGCACAGGATGGGTAAAGATCAGGAATATGTGGGTGCCCGTCCTGATGATGCTTCGGCTTATGAAAATTTTTATTTTTTTAATTTTCACGATAATTTCAGGACTCATAAATTGGATTAGATTTGATTTAAAATACCTCGTTCATACTACTTGAAAAGAACTAGCAATCAATCATAGTTTTCTTGGAAATGTTTACATAACGGCTTAAGTCACCGATATGTTCCCTCCATAGATAGCATTATTGTATGGACGGTTGGACCTATTTCTGAAGTATTACATAGGACAAAGAATAAAGAGATCTGTTACATGTGGAAGCTGTGAATTTGAACTTCTGACAGTCTTTGGTCTGGCATTTCCATCCAAGCCATCCTTATTTTTGGAATGCTTCTTCCAGAGTATCTGATTATGACAACTTTGACAATGTATTCACAATTTAGAAGTCGATGTTGTTGAAGCTATTTAATCACTGGCAAGAGATCCTCAAACAACAAAGGTAAGAAGGTAAGTATCGTGTGCCATGGTCTACAACTGTCTGACACAATAGTAAGGAAGCATGTTTCTTTTTATATAATAGTTCACAGGAAATGTTGCCCCCAGTATGTCTCACCTGAAGTTTAACCTCCCAACATCATCTGGGGGAAGTGGGAGGATCTTCAAATGATTCATATACAGTATGCGAAATTGTCAATAGTGACGGTGTTGGTCTACGTCTCAGACTACGTCACTGGTTTTTGTAATTCAGCACTTGTGGTTGTTAGCAGAAAAAATATAAAGGCAATTTGTGCATAACACTTTTGGCTCGAGAAAAATTGATTAATTTGGAAAGGATATGAAAGCTGTGAGTATATCATGCAAGATAACTGTAAGAACCACTGGAGGGTGTTAGATATAACACTCAGCGAGGAGTGTGTTCCTCCGAGAGCAACATTTTGTTGCAAACAGTGTGGTATGCAGAGGAGGACGTTATGGTACGTTTTTATCACATCATCCAGTAAACCCAAATACACCTTAAAGTCCTGCCTAGTTGATGTAGTTCTGGATTAACATATCCAAACACAGCTAGACTTTAATTAACACGTGTAGTCCTCAGTACATGTACTTTATATGACTCCAGCCACGTTGAGTTCAAGAAGGTCCTGTTCAGCAGAGTAAACCCATGAGTAGCGACGCCCGAAGTACTGAACTACACACACCCAGACCAGGAGGAGAAAGAGGCCACTGAGGAAGAGAGCGATGGCAATGGTGTTGTACCCAGCCAGGAGGAGCAGAAGCAGAGACACCACTGTCAGGGCCAAGTAAGGTAGGACCAGGATCAACAGGAAGCAGACATTACCCAGCGACTGTGTCATCTTTCTCAGTAGAATGATGAAGCTTTCTCTCAGAGTGGGGGCATCAGGGTCCTCATTGTATGTGTTGCACCGTCTACATCTGCTGTAAAAGTGACTGAATTAGGGATCTCATGTTTTGAAGGCAATTCAACTGATTGCTCTAGGGAAGGGAATTAGGATATGTTTATTCATGGATATATTGCTGATATATAAAGGTGATGGGGATGTAGAAGCATGTGTCTTCTCTTATAGGTTCTCCCAATCACACTCTTGTTTTTGCATCTTGCACTCTTTTTTCCTACCTCAAACCTCTCATTCCCTGACACGCACTATCTGACACTATTAAATTGAGGTAAATATGAGAGTTTAAATACATTTTACACCGACTCTGTCTGTTCTGCAGATTTTCAAAAACAATTCGCTCTGGTACGGAATTTTTTATCCCTCGTTCTAATCCTTCTAAGTAACCTGTGTCATCTTTCTAGTTCAGTTTACTGTCAAAAGGTAAGAAGTCAAAGCAGGTATCCTACAGAAGTTAGGTACCATGTCAGACATTCAATAAACCCAGCCCCATCACTGAACCACACCCAATATTCTATAAATCCAACCCATCACTGAACCTGCTAATGACAAAACTTTCTGGTCATTAGTCAAATCCTTTTATTTCAACTTTTATGGCCAACAATATCTACTACCATCCGTCCTGATCTCACAACAGCCAATCATTTATTTTCTATGCTTGCCTTAAGCTCATGCCTTGATTCTGGTAACAACTTCCTCTAATACTTCTCTAAATTCATTGCATTTATGGACACAACCAAGTACAGTAATGCATTTTTACCCTCCTATATTTTTCTGCTCAACCCAAACCAAAACAAAGCACTGGGAACTGATTTTATCCCACCGCTCACCCTCTAAAAGAAAAAAGTGAAGCTAAACGTGATCTCTCCGCTCTTAACCTTCTCTTGGTCTCCCTGTTTCTTTAATTTCCTGAATATTCTCCTTTACCTCCATTCACCATATCCATGTTTATTTTATGACTCCTTTTGTATGAATGTTTAATTCTTGCTCCGTCCATCTTGGTAATCTCACCATTCCCTCCAGCAACACCCACTCCTCTACTGATGAGATTAACCTACACAAGAGTTTATCCATACTTTAATAATATTCAAGTACAGTGGGGAATAATTGACATTGTTACATTTGATGCTGCCAAAGTACAAACTTTTCCTTAAGCAAGATCATTATAATCAGCCTCCACTTTAACTCAAACACAATCCCAATATACCAGCCATCAGTTTCAATATCAATGAACTTATTTTAACCAGTAACCTCTCCTGAGTGTAACTAATTTCTAAAATTGGAGAGAAATACATTTAGAAATTTTTCATCTTGTACGGGTCGTCCGTAGTTTACCTCTGCACAATTTCTTACCCTTTACAACACTATCGGTCCTACGTGTGGGTGGTGTTTCACACTCCTATTTTTACTGGTAATAATTATTTGTATGTACTGTATCAAAATTTGATCTGTTTAATGTAAGACTTCGCTTACCTTCTTAACATAGACAAATTATGGTTTATGGCCAGTAATATAAAAACATGATAACAATGAAAACAGTACACAATGTTTTTGAACCCATGACGTAAGTTTCATTTGTACTTCAATAATAATTATCAATACTGCTGTAACTAAATAATTTATGATAATTTATATACAGTACAGTACATGATTTAGAAAAAAGAGCACATATTTTCAATATACAGACAAGACAAAACTTTTTTTTACGGGGAATAGCCCACCCGGGCACAGGTCATCGACCCACAAGGGGGCCAAAAAATAAGAGTAAAAAGAAATTAAAAATAGTAGAGAAAAGTCTGTACAGCATTAATCTACACCACAAAAATGCCGGAAAACCAGCTTTTTAAAGTGAGACAGATTGTATGAGTGTAGAAACACAGAAGAAGGCAGAGCATTCCACAGTTTGGCTGTGTGAGGAAAGAAGGATGTACTATAACGGGTTATTCTAGTGTGACCGACATCCACACAGAAACTGTGGGCACCGCGGGCAAGACGAGTGTTACGAGCCCTCGGCCTTGCCGGCGGTACATAGGATGCCAAATCTACCGAACATTGCCTGTTAAAGTACCTGTAGAAGAGAGAGAGTGGAGAAAAATTGTGGTGAAGAGAAAGGGAAGAAAGATTATCAACTAAAGGAGGAGAGTTAATAAGCCTTTGATTCCACCCTATCTAACAGTTGAAGAGCCACCCCAGATATGAGAGCAGTACTCCAAGTTAGGATGAATGAATCCCTTATATACTTGAAGCAAATGCTCATGAGTGAAGTAGCTACGGCATCTGTACAGCATTCCCAGCTTTCAGGAGGTAGCTTTAGCAATGTTGTAGATTTGTGGCTTCCATGACATATTAGAAGAAATGGTGAGGCCTAGCATATCTATTTTAGAAATTGGCAGAATGATTGCATCCTGAAATGTGATTTGTGGGAGATCATCTAATTTGGAAAGTGTATTTGGTAAAAACTGTGTTTTATTACTATTGAATTTAACCAAGTTTCTACCTCCCCATTCGGAGATGCTGCACAGATCCGCATTGATAGATGAAATGATATCAGCTCTAGAAACAGATCTAGTTTGAGAATTAGGGGAAAGGGAAAAATGTGAAGAAGAATGAAGAGTAGAATCATCAGCGTAAGAATGGATAGAATTAGTCGTAATGTGAAGTAAATCATTGATAAAAAGAAGGAAGTGAGCAGGTGAAAGAAAAGTACCCTATAGGACACAACTATTGGTAGATAAAGAGCGAGAGATCGAGCCCTCAAAAACAACTACTATGGATCAGTTCTCAAGGAAGCTAGAATTTAGAGAACAAAGTGGGGGAGAGGAAGCATAAGAGGGAAGTTTAAAAAGCAAAGACTTATGCCATACCCTGTCAAATGCTTTGGAGATGTCGAAGGCCACGACGAAAGTTTCCCCATAATCCTTAAGAGAGGATGACCAAATTTGGTGCATTAGGAGAGCAGATTACCAGTAGATCTCGCCTGGTGAAAGCCATACTGGTGATCCGACAAAAGAGAAGGTGACGGAGATAATGAGAGTTTAAGATAGTTTTGAAAATCTTAGAGAGAGATGAAGTGAGGGCAAGGGACGATAGTTAGAGGGATTAGAATGGTCACCGTTCTTCGGGATAGGCTGAACCGAGGCATGCTTCCAAGAAGAAGGAAAAGTTTGGGTTTTGAGGCAAAGGCAAAAGAAGCAAGCAGGCACAGGGGCCAGAATTTCAGCACACTCCCGCAGAACAAGAGGGGGTATTCCGTCCGGTCCATGCACCTTACTCACGTCCAACCTGGATAACACACCAGCAACCCTACGAGTGGAGATTATAGGAAAGTGCATAGGTTCTGTAGGAGGAGCAGGAGTAGGAGGGATAGAGTTTACAGTTTACAAAGAAAAAGCGATGTTTACATTTTTATAAGTTGTTCATGGAAAATGTACAGTATTTACCGAAAGAATTGTGGAGGTTTTAGAGGACGTAATCATATTCATATATGAGTGAACTTATATAATCTTTTTCTTTCTCTCAAGGCGAGTGATGCTGATATGACAATATCTTTCAATGACCTGACCTGTTGGGGAGTTTGATGTTGACATGGCTCTCGTCGAAGGTGACTTGGCTTCTGCCAATTAATCCTTCCATGAATGGTGATAGATGTCTTGGTCACGCTCCTTCAGCTGGAGGCCAACCTATCTGCAAATCACACTTCCATTATGTAGTTCAAGGACACATTTTTAACACAAGACACTGTTAACACCTGAGTGTTAACACATAACAATGTTACCACAAGACATTACTAACACTGGACACTGTTAACACAAGACACTCTTGATACAAGCAACTGTTTACACAAGACACTGTTAACATATGACAGTGTTAACATATGACAGTGTTAACATATGACAGTGTTAACATATGACAGTGTTAACATATGACAGTGTTAACACAATACAGTGTTAACACATGACTGTTTAACATAACACTGTTAACACCTGAACATATGACAATTAACACAAGACTTTTAACACAAGACATTGTTAACACATGACTATTAAATAATAAAACCGTTAAAACAAGACACCATTAACACAAGACTTTTAACACAAGACATTGTTAACACATGACACTGCTAACACAAGACACTGTTAACACACGACACCATTCAGACATGGCACTAATAATATCTTGTACCCTGTACTATTAAGAAATGGCACTGATACAGTATAAAGTGAACCTCTAAATACCTAACCCGTAAGAACATGGCACTATTAAACCATGGAAATTTTAACTCTTGGCACTATTAGTATGTAGTGCTGTCAACACATAGCACTGGCAGTTTATTCACTGTTAATACCTAACACTGTTAATACGTGGTACTCTGTCTGATAGCGCTGGGCACTGCACACTGACTCACTATGGGTGGAGAGTGGACCAGGCAGGTGTGGATGTAACACCTGTTGTAGATGAACACTTGCATCCACACTTGTTACACACACACACCGTTAATATATTCCTGCACCCAAGTACACTTCCACTCAGAAGTTTGTTATACACCCACAGTGAGGGGCACAAAGCTTGTTGCACTCTTCCTGGACGTCAGGTAACTATGTTGAACATCCCACCAACACACAGAGCGAAACAGACAATGGAGCAGTTTGATTTGAACAAAACCTCATAAAAAAAGAGATGGGGAGAATATTAATATGAATATTGACCAATGTTACTGATGATGGATGATGAAGATATGTTAATAACCTGCTTATGAGATGAGGGAAAACCAGTGATAGGAGTATCTATTCATTATCAGAATACAATGGGGAAATCTGTTTCAAATGAACACTATAAGAAGTAGGTGAACAATGCTCATCAAAGTACAGTATAGTCTGGGTTTTACTCGGTCAATTAAACCCATGGAGGTCAGCGTTTAACGCGAAATGCGTAAATAAAATAACAGAACATATGGGATTAATTGAAATAGAGACTGGGCCGACAACCAGACTACCCTTTTTCCGACACAGTACATACGTTGTAGTAAAAATAACATCTTAATGTTATGATGGTATGCACACACAATTAATATTTAAGAGAAATATCAATAATATTAGGTTTTTTAACACTTACGTTAGTAGAAGAGATGGCCGGGCACACAGGGATGGGGGGTTGGTTCTGAGGCAGAGGGCAGATTATTGGCCCTCACCTGTATCACTTGTATCACTATGCACCACAGAGGCTAGCGGGGCCTCCTTGTCAAACCCCTCAAAGTCCACATCCTCACTATCACTGACTTGGGCTGGCTCTGGTGGGTGGCGGGTGAAGAACTCGGTAATGTTTTGTTGACTGGGCAGGCAAGGTTAAATAGACCAATCACAGCGCTCGGTGGAGGGGGTGCATGGGTGGCCCAATCACAGTCTGCGACGTCATCGACCAGCCGCTTGCCGCGTAAATTAAGGAATGTACCGCGTAACTAACAATTGGCGCGTCTGGACAGGTGCCGCGTAAATGGCCAAACGCGTATAAAATATCCGCGTAAACCCAGACTATACTGTACAGTATATCAAGAGTCTTCACTGCATTCATTATTTGAAGAAAGGATGGGCTAGTTTGAATTTATTTGATTTTTCGATCTGATCATCTTTTGGAAAAGCACGGATCACTTTTGGATAGTGAAAAAGAGGTGTACAAATGCAACTTTTGAATATGCAAATTCTCGAATATTGAACATACGGATAACTAGGGATACCTGTACATAAATACTGCAAACTACCTCCCATTAGTTCCATCACACAACCTAAGCACTTGTCTTACCAAATCTCACTTTCATACAACTTATTAATAATTAATATTTTTACTCTCCTTCAGATAACTAAAGCAAAAACACTAGAAAAAAAATCTATCCATGTATAGTACTAAACAATGATTTGAAAGTCTACAATCACCTTGACTGTCTTTATCAGACTATACAAGTACATTAAAAGGTTAAGGTAAACAAAACACATTTGATTGCCAATTTCTATTTATTAATTCAACAAATGAAACAAGAAAGGACAAATCACTTAGCTGAGATAATAAACAAGAAACTAAAGTAACTCCAACACAGGATGAAGATAATAAACAAGAAACTAAAGTAACTCCAACACAGGATGATGCCACACACCATACAGAACACCCTGTTAGTTATGTCTCATGCAATGTCAACTTATTTGGCTATAATTTCTCACTGAATATCCTACACCTTCCCTTACAGGGTTGCTTGTGTTGTACTCGTTGGAGGCAACAGGAAAAACTGTTTTATAGAGTAAGGCCATTTTCAATTTTACATTCAATGACAATTATGATAAGTGGCAGGTACTGTACTGAAAAAATGACTAAAAATGTAACTTTAGGAGTAAATTTGGAAAAAAAGGCACATCATTAATGCAACAAGGGGGAGAAGTTTACTGTATCTTGATAATTATACAGTACATGAAAAATATTATTTTAGTTTTAAAGTGTAGTACTGTACTACCTGTACTTAAGACAGGACACAACTGTGATTTAACTCATTATTCTGACGTAATTTTGTTTTTTATTAGAGATACAGTATCAATATAAAATGTAGGTGTTGTATACAATATGCATTGTGATTCCTTCAAACATATATTTTTTGCCACTGCCAAAATTAAATAACATGAAAACCTAAGTATCATATACTGTAGAAAAATAAATTCATGGGATTATATACTCCAACATATTTCTAAAACCACCAATCTATTGAAAAAAAAAAAAAAGTTAGAATTACACTGAATTCCAACCCACTGCCCAACATAACTATCTGACTGGAAATCACTTTCTTTCTTTCTATCTTTTTCCAGAGGGGAGGAGGGATTTACAGCCTCAAGTACAGCGCATGGAATTTATCAATCACAAGAAACATTCAAATATATGCCATTCATGATGAATTATCACAATCAGGACTCGAGCCAAATGCTGTTGAAAAAGGAGCACAATGCAGGTGTTACACAGATTCTCCCAGAGATAGTCAAGGATAACATTGCAAAATGCAACATTTTTACTCTTCTTGTGATTTTTCCCATTGCCAATCAATGTCCCCACACATACACATGTAGCTATGCAATGGGACAACCTGATGTCGCAGGGGGGGTGCTTGTAGAACACCATTGCTTGCATCCCATTTATGTGATCATAAACCCACACATGTGAACCAGGACCTCTGAGGCATCAGTGGCCAGTACACGTGTAATTACATGAGAATGACCACAAGGCCGAAAGTGGGCACATAAGGCCAATGATGTGCACAGAAGGCCATATTTGGGGATACTGGGCCCTGTAGATGATGCACAGCTGGAAGGGATGATAGGTGATGACCGGTCAGGAGCAAACCTGGAAATAACAATGACATATACACAGTTGAAACACACACATGAAGTGCTTCAAAACTTCTCTGCACTCAGCATATACAATGGTAATTAAATTTACAGTATCTTGATAAGACAAAATTTCCTGTTACAATGATCTTTTTTTATTATTATTTCACAACAGTAATGATATTTTTGTTATTCAAAACTCTAACCCATTAACACTTCTCCAAACATTACTTACTGATTAGTGATCTGAAGATCTTATCATACTCTTATAAGGTGCCCATTAAAAGATTCTTTCTTCTAAATACATTCAAACAACAATTGCCCTGAAGGTGCACTACATACTCACACACAATTCTCTCCTACACAGTCTACCACCTTCAGGTTTTCCTGACTTGTTCTACTTTTTAGTCTTTATCTGTAACCCCAAAAGCCTTTTCTGCTATAAAGGTGAGGTGACATTATAGGAAAAAATCCTTGTCACACTTCTGTTCATCCTGTATCAATCTGTAAACCATTCTGTTCATTCATTTTCATTTATTGCCCTTCTCCCTGTCCTTTGGTCTTACCACTTAATTATTTTAACTCACACCATTCAAATAAAAAATTTTCATTCACTCATATCCACAATGCTTCTGAATTCCATTTAGCTATATGCTGTACAATACACTCGTGTCCTATGAACTTGTCAATTCATTCTCCTCAGGTAAAATAATCCAATCACATTAAAAAATGTCTGCAAACTTCATGGGTCATAAATTTTTACTTTCACATTGCCCTCAATTTAGACATCCAATCTGCAGAAATGAGCATTTACAGTACAGTTTAAAATTAGAGAGCATTTGCAAGGAACAACTGTAAATTGATTTTGAACAGTTTAAATACCTTTAACCGGTATACAGCTACTGTACTTTACTTTGTATGTTTTGTCTAATATTGAAAGTTACCCAAGGAACATAACTTATTTTCCCATATTATACTCATCCGACACCCTAACCTAACCTCAATTTACAGAAGGGTTAAGTTACTAAAAAGCTTGCCATAAACTGTTTCCATATAAAAGACCTTATATTTCCACTGAATCCCATTATATAATGGGAGATGTGTTCCTACAGAAAAAAAATTCCGACCCAAAACTTCATAATACATACAGTACTGTATTGTATAGAATTTAGTTTTTTTACCTTTTTAAACACATTTAAATGAAACACAATAATATTTTAATAATAAATAATATAATACTGGAGGCAATGTACAGCATAGTTAAAGCTGTGAAATGCTGGAAGCTATGAGTATCCCATCTCCCCTATGTCGACTGACGTGAGTGGTGAGGTGTTGCCTGACTGACCAGTGGACTTACTCCCCCATGCCGGAGTGGAGTTGCCATTAGCGACATATTGTCAGATGAAAATATCTGATATAATTTACTAATATGTATACATTGACTCAAGAGAGTTATTCATAACTTACTACGATATTTGAATACAGGTTGGACCTCGCTAATCCGGCAGCTTTGATGGTTTGGGACGGTATCAGTAGGCCTATAATATAACATTATCTCTTCGCCTTTTCTGCTAATCTACTTTTTTCTGTGCCTGACCCTCGCTTTATGCGATGGTTGCGTTCTGCGACAACACAGCACAATGGTAATCCGCATATACTGTAGTGAATACTTAATCTTATGGGGAAAATATTTAATATTTTTTTTTATGGGATTAGCCCATCAGGGCACAGGTCAATGACCCACATCAGGGCTTGGGGGGCTATAAAAGTTGTAGAAATATCATTACAATACTCTAATGTGGATTAGAAATAAAGATAATATAATATAAAACCATAAACCAAGACATATGAAGAGCATTGGTGTTTGTGTGGAAGGAGAAAGTTACTTCTAGTGCACTGATAAAACTTACTCTACAGACCTTTTTCATCAGTGATTACAACAGGTGAACGAAAGGTAACAATGAACTTGGGTACTAAAATATAATTTCTGTAAGTATGAAATTCCGTACAAAGCGGTTCCGTATAACGAAGTCTTCCTGTATATTGATGTAAAAGTATGGCTAACCGACCACCAAATAAGAGGCAGATATTTATAACTGATCACCCTAAGCACCGTCCCTATAGTTTCCCGTAAGTGGAATAGCAGTGATATTCCCATTAGCCGGAACAATTGGTGCACAGCACTTCCGGGAATGAGAGATTTCCAGGTAACAAGATGACTCTCTCAAAGCCGGAAAAAATCCCTCAATCCCGGAATTTTTCAGGTAACGGAAAAATGTTCTCTGAAGTTCCCGGAAAAAACCTCCCCCATTCCCGGAAATTTCCGTAAAATGTGCCCCTCAGAAAATCCTTCCCAAAGTCACAATTTTCCGGAAAATTTCGGCTTTGGGAACGAATTTCTGAGAAAAATTCAATTCCAGCCATCAGAGAGTTCCGAGTTTGAGGGATTCCGACTAACGGAGATATTATATACTGTATAGTGTGTACTCCTTCATATATTAAATCAACTACTGGATACTGCTCCATTAAAGTTAAGATGATTAATACACAGGTTAAGAAGTTTTGTTTCCCACAAAAATTGCTAAAAAATTTGTATTTTTATGTTTGGGGGGGGTGTAGGAACATATCTTCCTTTATATAATGGTAGTCAATGGGAAAAATGGCTTCAATTTACAAAAGTCTTTTTCAGGAATGTATCCCTTTCACAAGTCAAAGCACTCCTGTAATAATAAAAGACAAACATGAAGCAAATTGGCCGAGTTACTGCCGAGACATATTTAGAAATGGGGGAGAAAAACATCTTCATCTGCTGACTGGGGATAAGTAATATGTAGCTACAACTCACCAAGCACAAAACTAAAATTCATCAGTATTCATGGAAAGGATAAAAGCTTTCAAAAGTAAATACGGTCTCACTTGCCTTATTCCATGTCTCTTATTTCAGCTATGCCCTTTTGTAGATGTTTGCCATTTGCACATGAACTCCTCAATGTGTTCCAATACTGCACCTGTAAAAAAAGAAGAGATAGTTATAGTACAGTACTATACTAATTTTATACTGTACATGTATCAAAGAACACCTCATGTATGACAGCTAAAGTAACTGAATACTGTAAATGATAGTGAAGGAGGGAAAGTCTATTGGCTCTCCTGTCTGGCCATCCTGTGTTGAAGTGTTGTGGGTGAAAAAAAAACCTTGATTAGAGAAAAAAAGTCCTTAAGAACTATCAAGATCCTTTGTATCCTCAGAGGATGAGGCATGATAAACAAGACAAGACAGATCATAAATGTAATTTCATATATACAAAAGATCAATACAGCTCTAGTCTGCTGATAATTTCCAGTTGGAAAATAATCAAGCATAAAATAAAAGACACTTGCATAACTTTCTTCTAAAACAATCATGTACTGTACAGTATTAGGATTTATTTGCATAGTAAGAGGACTGTGCAATCTCTAAATTTATTCTAGATAAAAAATAAAACCTATCTGAAACTTGTCTACAACACAAGAGTGCAAATATAATAAAGCTATTGAGGATTTTGTGATGTGTGTGTGTGTGTACGTGTACTAACCTGCAGCTTGGGTGAGGCCAGAGTGAGAGAAGGTAGCATTGGGTGGTTGTTTCTCCCCCGTCAGGAGGGTCACTGTAGCAGCCTTGACGTTGGAAGAGTTTTGCTGCACCTGTGCACTTAGATAATGGCAACACTCCAATATTTGGTACCACTCCCTAGAAAAAATAAACATACCGTTGAGTAAATAATGCCAGACAATCACTGAAAATGCTACAGTATATACAGGGTATTCCTACACAAATTTTGAGGCATAATCATACATCTCAATATTCATAATAATACAAAGCAGAAAATTATATTTTATTTTGATCCGTGGGAACTTTCTCAGTCCACAGAATAGAACAAGCATTACATATGGAAAGACTGACAAGGATAACCCTAAATGCTTCCCTCCTCCCCACTTTATATTCCACAGTGTGAAACAAAAATTATGTACAGGTACAGTATCTCTCATTAAACAAATGATCACTTAACAAATATTTGCTTATATGAATATTCTATTCTTACAACTCTTTCTCACTGCAGTATATGAAAGCTATTCCTGTTTATATGAATATAGTCCTTTAGCTATGTGGAACATGCTTGTGGTAGAGTAACCTTACCAAGCTGTTATCGTTATTTTCAGCTCGTAATTATGGGTAGGTATATGTAACTACTTTTTTTTTCTCAGTTACATGCACACAATCCTACATACATACTGTGAAAAAAGTAAAATAAATAAATATCATAAGGGCAAACTTTTTTTCTTTTTTTTTTAGTGAGGAATACCACACCCAGGAACAGGTCATATGAGAGAGTGTGTGTGTGTGTTAATCTACACCATGAAGATGCTGGAAAACCAGCTTTTTGAAGTGAGACACATAAGAGGATGGAAACAATGAAGGAGGCAGAGCATTCCACGAGGCTTTTATAGAGTCGAGTGTAACAGCCGAGAGAGCACACATGGACTGTGAGACGTATGAGACCGCCTGGCAACACCAGCTTATGAGTGACTCGCCATGTACAAATGTACTGAGAGCCAGCACCAAGCTGCCAAGAGTGTATGAGAGACTGAGGAAAAATTAACTTTTTTTCTATAGATTTTACAATGTAAGTGGCAAAAAAAAAAATAAATAAATAAAAAAAAAATCACAAAATAAATAAATTCATATGGTGTGTTAAAACCCCGAGGGTGTTAAGTCAAAGCTAAAAATTATAATAGGTTTGGTGTTCTTAGGTAGCTTGAGTCAGAAATACCCTATCCCATCAAATTTTACACTTTGTATTATAAACAATACAGTACAGACCCTGCCCAGCCCAGAATTTCCACCAAACCAGACAGGCCTTTCCCCAATTAATCATGATTAAAGAAAGTTTCATGTATATTGATGGGAAAAATTAATATAAGTGCACCCATACAAAGCTCTAGTTATATGTAGAAATAAAATTTTCTCGGTCAGTCAGTAACAAAATGGTGCACAAAGCTGTTGCACAGCGAGGAAAAAACTGTTCTTGTGAAAAAGTTCACGAGATAGTACTCTATTATACAGTAGTAACCTTCCTCTTACCATGCTTCTTTGTCTTTCCGTTTTGGGTATTTAATCAGAGGTAGGTGTGTCCTTTCATGTGGCCGTTGGGCTCTGATAAATCTTGAGCCATGACGAAACTTAATCTCCAGCCAGCGGATGGCATCACGTGCACCAAGGCTCTCTCGCTTTTGTTGATCCAGCAAGTCAATGACTGAAAATGAGAAAACAAAATACTGTACCCTGTACTTGAATTCCAACCTATGACACTATAAAATGATGGTCAGATGAAAAAAGTCAAAATTGATTGATTGATTGTGGTAATTACATCCCTGGCGACGCAACAGCTTAGGTCATACACAAAGGGGGCAAGATACAAACATTAATAATATATAGCATAACATAATTGTGAAAAACAATTAAACATTAACAAATAAAACTTAAAGCTTGTGTAGAAGGCTGGCTTCCTCCACGAAGGGGAGGACATTCCCTCCCATACTACAGTACCCACTTCCTCAGTCAAGAGGGTTGGCTGGCTGGTCACTCCAAATAAGCAAATTCTACATTGGACAAATCATACCGGTAAGTTTAATGATCATAAAATAATCAAGTACTGTACAGAACTTAGTGATATTAGTGATATTTAAGCCAAAAAATGGTCTCCTTGTGGACAATTTCAAAACTTTCTGATTTAAAGTTACCAACCAAAGACTTCCTCTGGCTTTATCATATTCTTGTTTTCTCAGCTTTTTCACCTGTAACCCTATGTCAATGGCAGTCTTTGATGATACAGTACAGGTATTGTATTCCCAATTTACAGAACGGTTCACTGAGTTTTGGCACATGCCTCCTCCTCCCGCTCTGACTGCCATTTCTTCTCCAATTTCGTAGCAAGGCCAATGGACTTGCGTTGCTTCTTCACAACACTAGCATCAGTAGCACTTGATGGGTGCTTGGAAGCCACTTCGAATGGTTAGAGTACAGTATTTATAGCAAAAACACTTAAGCACACATGAATGATGTGAAAGCCTAACAGAGACTGGCTTGGCGTCGCTTGGGGATGCTGTGACGTTCCGCGAGTTAGAGGTACAGTACTGTAACGCGCCAAGAGAGGATGATGCGCAGAAAAGAGTAGTCTGTGACGACACAAAAGCGACGTTATATTGAGTCGTCAGGAAGTTAAACAAATTTTGGGGATCTAAAGATTAGCGACTTAGTACTGAAACAACGATAAGCGGGCCGACGTTATACGAGGACTTACTGTACCATTCAAAGTAACAGTTATAATAGTTTTATAAGTATAAGTAGTTTGTAAGTTTACCAATTGAGGGTGGGAGCCAGCACAGGTATTCCTGCCTCTCACACAGCTGTTTTAAGGCTGCTACACGTTTATGTCAGTAAATAAAAGTTTATTTGAAGAATGTACAAATACTGTATATATGAATATAAATAAATAATTGAATAAGATAAAAAAGGGAAAGAAACTTGCTATGGAACTATGGAGGTGGAAAGTGAGGGTGTGTGACTACAGTGGGTTAGACGGCCAGCAAGCGCACCATGCAGCATACCCGTATGGGTTATAAGAAACTTTTCACAATTTTCCCCTTATTTTGTGGGTAATATGGAACCTATCTAGGGTGATTATGTAAAATTTATTTTTTGTGACCAGGGGGTGAGCATAAGGGGTTTGGTACTGCAACCAGTGAAGTGCAAATTTCATCAACATATTCATTTAACAAAAATCTACTAAACTGAAGTTATGGAGTAGCTAGAACATCCCAAACACTCTTTCTTACCTGCTTGTGGGATGATAATCATGTGTGTGGGCTTAGAGAGAAGCATCTTAATGGCCTGAAGGTGGCTGACAAGTACAGTTGCATCTGGAACTAAGTACAGGCCCAAGGTGGCTCTACGAGCAGTGCGTTCTTCCAAGTTACGCACTTCGTGCTGTAGCCACTGTGCTGTGAGTGACTGCATCCCTGCCAAACGCCGTGATTCTTTCTTTGCCGGTGGAACAGATAAGAGATCTTCCTCGGTTGGAGATGAGGATGCTTCTCGACTTGGGGTTCCCTATGGAAATGGGATATTTAAAAAATAGAAAGTGTTGCAGAATTTGTTTACTAAGTTGATTGCATATTGATTACAAACAGTTATTTCACTTTTATTTTAAAGTTTTTATGCATAAAATATAATTTTTTTAATGAAATGTCTACTAAATACTGCATACATCCTGCCAATGGTCACACCTTGAAAACTTTACTAAGTTTAAGGGGAGAGCATCCAGATGAAAATTGGAAAATTAGAAAAATATTAAAAAAAAATTCCTGAGGAAAGCTGTTGCCTATGGCTATCTGCTGATGTATTTTCATTGCTTAATTCGTAATATTTATGTGGCTATGCAATATTGTTCTACCCCCCCTTCATTTAGAAGACCCTTCTGTTGATATAGCAAAAGCTGTAGAAAAGTATTTATAATAATATTTTGGTGTAAAGTAAGACCAATCACTTGGTAAAAATCAGTATTTGTCACCTTTCTCAGCTAGCTAGCAGCAGGACCAGAGTCTGAGGCTGCAGTTACCCATGAAAGAAGCGAGAGTGAGGTTCAACTGTGTACTGCTCTCGCGCCACCCTTCTCGGCCCGTATCTCAAAACGAGTTTTCTAGCCATCAGATCCCTACGGCTCAGCCATTTATGTACCCAAAACAAAAGCGATAATCACGTTCAAGAGGAGTGAATTACCTATACTCCACATGCGTTTCAACATGATCTAGTAAGAAGTAAAGGAGAAGTAGGATTTTGAAAATTCTAAGAATATAAGGGAAAAATCAGGTATCAGGGATTAGGGATTAGGCAGAACCGATTCAGGGGTATAGCAACAATGTATCTGGTGTCCTTAATTGCTGACAGGAAATTGATATTGATTGGTCAATTATAAACAAATTTCGTGCTTCAACCGGACTCTCCCCGTAATAGATGGTTAGTTTTGTCAAAAATGTCAAAATTCCTTTAACCTTTTGAACATGATTCCCGCACCCTATGCGGTAAACAACACCAACTGCGGTAATCATTTTTCCACCCATACTTTGAATCTTATTGCCAGATAGACTCCTGTTTGATCAGCTGCCTTGTAGGGAGGCACAACCTACAATTTATCACTTGGCCTGCTAGTCTCTTTTCAGTCATGGCCACAGGTAGATGTTCATCCAAGTATCTTAACTGCAGTCTGAGTGCCCAAGAAAGAAAGAAAGAAAGAAAGAAAGAGAATGGTATAAATCCTTGTGTATGTATGTATGTGTGCACACAGTAAATCCTAGGCTTTGTTTTATTCCACACGAAGCCTGCTCATTCGTCTGGAGCAAAAAACAACAATTGGCCTGGCAATCATCCTTCAGTTTTTTAAGATCTCCACCCCAATATCAAGTGACCCTTGCACCTCCATCACACCAGCTAGCTCACTGACCCACTCTCATGACTGTTGCTGTCTGCATCCACTAGTATTCAGCAGAGTCCCTAGTAGCTCAGTGGAGCAGCCTTAAATTCCACTTGATGTGACAACTGCCAAAACCTGTCAAAATGTTAAGTTTGTATAATTGAAGTCTGTAATTGGTGAGTACCTGCTTCACAACAGGCCACTTACCATGCCAGATTCCTTGTTTTTTCTTTTATCATCAGTTATTACACCATCCATTGAGAAATTATATATCCCAGTTTCAGCATTGTGCCACAATGGAGTGTCATGTCGCCGCACCATCTCTTGGCCAAAGTCACGAAGACGCCACATTCTCAGCAGCACCTGTAGGAAGGACACCAAAATTAAGTCTCGTTGAATTGAAAATACAGTACAATATATTTACCTAGTACTGGATTGTAGTCATGTATTAAGTGTTTTCCAATATTAATTTACAGATTTGTCTATCATTTATCTTTAGTAAATGTGTGTCCCCACCTCCACAGAAACGCCTCAACCCACACCCACGACCACAAAAGACTCAAGACCTATCAGGCACTGCTCCTGCTGTGGCAGCTGCCCTGGCCAATGTTGGCCCACTCTCCAACCTCCTCTTCCCCACGGGGAAGTCAACAAAATCCCGCCAAAGTGACAATTTCATCCCAGAAAGAAGTGGGGATCAGTGTTGAACAGTGATGAACAGTGCTTAAGCCAGTGAATTCAGCACCAGACAGTGGCAGCATGAGCCACGACCCACCAGTGAGGTCCACACCCAGACATAAGCACCCCTGACAACCGATCACCATATTCTGACCAGGCGGTGTTAATCAGTCCACTCTGGGAACAACCATGGGTTGGTTTTACACCTGACCACGAGATGATAACACCACTTAGCAGAGTAAGATATTCTGACACCACACCACATCACCTAGTGTCTCCATGACCATGTGAGGTCCCTCATATCAACATTCGAGGATGAGTTACTGTACTAAGTGGAAACCACACCACTTGGTGTCTCCATGACCATGTGAGGTCCCTCATATCAACATCCGTGGATGAGTTACTGCACCATATGGCCTACGTGACCTCACACAGTAGAGTCCAGTCATTAACTGTAAACTATAATTTGTATGTTCAATTCATGTTCCTTCTCCTTATAGTTATGAAAACTTTCATTAGACAACCCACCCACTTCATGTCTTTGTACTGTATGTAATTAATCATTTCTGCCCATGTATATTTTAAGCCTTTGGGCAGCTGAACTTGTTCAATAAACTGTTTTTTATTATTATTATCATTATCATTACAAAAGAAAACCATGAGTCTAGGTTTTTAAACATTCGTACCATCCTACACTACTGGGAAGCAAGTAAGGCAGATTAACAGACAAAAGATTACATTTACGATAAATATTTAGTGATTTTTAGCTATTAATACTGACACTGCAGTACAGTACGTACTGTATATTTAACATTTGAAAAATGTACGGTTAGTGCGTACTCATGTTTGGAGAAAAATGTCAAAGACTTATTCTCCTTAACATAGAGTAGGGGACAATAAGTTTAGCTTCTCCCAATATGGATAAAGAAAAATTCCATTTGTCAATTGTAGAGTTCTCTATAGTGTGTTCTCTCAATGTCTTACAAGCCACTTCCTACTTGTTGTCAGGTGACTAGAATGAACAAGACATACCAACACACATTCTCCCTTCATTTGTTAACATTAAATAATTTTTTTCTGCTGTACATTAATAAATGCATTTTACTCTGTCACTCCCCTGCTATAAATAGGCCCCAGACATGGTTTACTCTTTATACTTCACACAACATAATTATCTACTACAGTAAACCTTCGTAATTCCGGACAATTATGGGGGAGAAGGTGTCCGGATGTGGCAAATGTCCGGATGAACTGGGGGATGAATGCACGTTACTTAACCTTATGCGGAAAAATTAGGATATGTTCCACAATTACTAAAATTCAACAATAATGCTATAAAAGTCGTGAAAAAATCACTGCAATACTCTAATGTGGGTTAGAAATAAAGATAATATAATATAAAATGATAAAATATAATATAAAACTTTAACTAAGACGTATGAAGAGCATGGGTGTTTGTGTGGATCAGTGAAAGTGTGTGAAGTGGCTGACTCGCCACTCCAGCAGCATCCTTTGACACGGCACAGCACGGGGCACACGCATGCATGCACACACACACAAACGCACAGTGTCACGTTTCACAACCATTCCTGGAGCATGAATGCTATAAATTTGTAGAAGAATCATTAAAATACTCTAATGTGGCTTAAAAATAAAGATTATATAATATAAATCTAAAAATAAGAAAAAATAAAGAACATGGGTGTGTATGGGTGGAAACTGAGCTGCCTGATAACATAGGAGCCCTCCCTCCTTCCTTCAATGTGGCGTCACATACACACACATCATTTATACAGTACCGTATTTTATGGCAGGGAGTATTTAGGAAAAAGATTATGTGTATTTTCCTCCTGTAGCCATAGTTTTCTTAAAATAATCTATACAGTACCAGGAAATGTGTGGAATAAATAAAAATAGTACCAAAAAAAAATACTGTAAGGCCAAATCAGTAAATAAAAGCCAAATGAAAGTTTAACACAGTCGCCATTTGCATACACTACCTGTTTCACCACAGTAACGAAGATCAGCAGGGACGCTGATTCCCTTGCAACGCTCCCCCCAACCCTTACACTCTGCGCTCTCCTCCCATACGTGTTTGCCCTTAGGACAATTATTTCTTTTACCTTTTTCACAATATGTATATAGGACGGTGTGTGCATGTAACCGAGTAAAAAAAACGAAGAAAGTTATGTATATCAACCCGGAAATACGAGTTGAAAGACCACCAAAACACCTCACAGCTTGACCCAGCAGCTGATATAGACTTGGTCCATTTTAGCAGCAGCATCAAAACAAAAAAATGGAATCTGGATCTAAGAGGTCCGGAAGTGAGAGGGTTTACTGTATTAAAAATATAGTCGACAACTCAGGCCAGAAAAGTACTGTACAAGGGGGAAATATATCACAGACAGTCTCTAAAGAATATCTATAAAAATTATATCATTAGGCTTAGAGAAAGTAAGCAATAAAAGGTTCAAAGAGGCTTAGTAATGTGATGCAATATACATAAGTGTGTTCTGAAATCAAGTTCAACTTTTAGAGGGTTTTTTCGGCTGAATAAAATCGTCTGTTATTAGCCAAAATAATATAATGAAGTGGGTCTTGGCCCTCTAAAGGATTAACATTGAGTTAATGATTTCTCCATGAATCCCATTACCAAGTCAAATAGCTCATTATCATGTGTCTGGTATACCAAGCACTTGAATCTCAAGTCAAATACAGTATACACCATTGACTATGTTAAAAACTATTTTATACGTTACTTTTCCAAAAGAAAGTTTATATTTATGTGATTACCGTTAACTAATGTCCTCCCTTATAAATATCTCACTGGTAATACACAAGTTGATATATGCATCTTTCAGCCTTACCAACTCCATAGTCTTAAAATTGAGTGACTTGTGTGTTCCAGGTAGGTAAGTTGAGATAAGTGTGTGGAGCATGAGATCTTCAGGCAGTGGTGTTGTTTGCAGGGCATCTACCATGCGTCTGCGGGTAATTCCTTCTGAGACTCCAGCACTATCTTGTAGAAGACCAATGACATCATTACGAACTCCATGTGAATCTGGAGATACAGTACCAAGTTACATGAATAGAGGAAGAATATTTTTATATCAATGATAACAAAACAGTTGTCACACACTAAAAATAATCAGCCCTGCTATGAAACTTGTCTACCTTTCTCTGAACCTTGTCTAATATCAAGGGAGAAAAACTATTCAAATTTAGTACCTATAAATAAGGGACTGATTCTGAAATCTCATTTTATAACCAAACATTGATTGTGCAACTCAAGGCCCCTAACTTCTATGAAGGGCTATACAGGAATACCCCAGTTATTACAAGGGATGCACCCCCTTTCCTAGTCTGCCTATCGGTATGAAATATTTTATAACTTTTAATTTGGTATTCAACAGGTAACTCAAGTGAGTCTAAGTTTATCCAGGTTGGGTGAATGCTATTTTATATGTTCGACTGCAGTTGAGTAGCACGTCCAAGGGATTAAAGAACAATGACAACAAGTAGAAACATATGTTTATATAACAAACACAGATGGAAATACTAAGACAACTTACTGTTCTTCAGCTGATCTAGATCCACTCGTGTTAGGTTAAGAAGTTTGGCAATGGCTGTCCATAAAGAGTCTGCTGTCTTCATGCACAACTGGATGACCTCGTCTTCCCTTTTCATCCAATCACATGCAACAAACACAGCTGCTAACATGCCCTCTTTTCCAATGAGCTCCAGATGTTCACCAGCACTAAGGCCTTCCCACTCCTGATCAGATTCAATTTTCACATCCTGGAATTTACAAATTAACTTACAACACATCCAAAATCTATTTTCTGTCCATGGAAGCCATTCAGAATTAATAATTTAAAATGTTTATATTACAAATTACCAAAAAACAACAAACTAATTCCAATCATGGATATTAAGCAAATATTAAGCATTTACAAGAGGGTGTGTGTGTAGACTGATTACATATAAGTCAAATACTGTAGCATAGAAATCCAGGTTGATTACTTTCTTGCTAGGAAATCAGATAAGATGATTGTTTAGGATGTCTAGGTTATATCTGGGAAAGAATGTGCCTTGCAACACATATTGCTTGTGTGTGACATATTACTTAAAAAAATGCAGAGAAAGAAACAAAGTTTATGTTCCAAGGAGTGTGGAAATTAAACGAACATTACAAGAGAAACATTTTATATTGCATTGAGAAGAGTGGAAACCAACTTAGATGCTGGGTCAAAACGACGGATGTTCTGTTGAGTGCAGCTGACAAGATGTGTGAAGGGATGAAGGGCACAGCCAAGATTGCCGTAACATGGTGGTGGAATGGTGATGTGGAGAGAAGAACATTGTATTAGGCTTGGAAGATTGGTAGTGACAAAGAGTGCCAGAAGAAAAGTTTACAAGGGTAAGAAGCATGAGCAGGACACATTCACGGATGCTGAACATTGGAGGCACAAGAGGTGAGGTACAGTATTCAGAACAGCCATGCAAATAGTAGGTAGAAACAAGGATGTTGTTGGTGAGAGTTGAGAGAAATGGCTATGGTAATGATAATGACAATGAGGAAATCAAGAATGCCTGGAGATAATACAAAAACCAACTACTGAATGAGGAGTATGAACAGGACAGGAGGTAGCAGAACCAGTACAAGGACAGTGCTCAAGGACTGAAAGAGATTGGGTGAGGAAACCAAATGACAAAACAAAAATATGGGAGGACAGCCAAGGGCAGGCCAAAAATGACACGGAGAGAGGTGATATGATATGACAGAATCAAGAACCTGACAAGAGAGGATGCAAAAGACCATGCAGCATGAAGAGCTAACCTAACATAACCATGGTTAACCCATGCAAGTGTAGAAAATGGCCATAAAACATTGATGAAGATAATAAGAGGCACAACACTGTTCATGAAACTCACCTCATCGGAATCGTCATCATCCTCTGAGGAACACAACTGAGAGAGATCTATCTCTTCCTCTTCCTCCTCCTCCTCTTCCTCACTTGATGCAACTTCTTCATCATCATGGCCTTCATCATCTTCATCACTCACTGATGTATATGAACCACTCAGCTCATCTGTAAAAGCATGATTATTGAAAAATATGAGGAGACGAGCGATAAACCTGGTAGATGTTTAGATCCTTGCTGTGAAGGAATAACATCATAACTAGAGCTTGAGTATTGCTAATGTTGTCTAATGTGCCTATTTTGTTCATTTATATTTACATTATTCTGCTATAAAATTATTAGGCATTAGCCAAAGCTGAATGTTCTTAAGTAGAGGAGCGCCTGTATTGTATATGTGTGTGTAGACACACAAACACATGCTATAAGAACAGCCCAGTTCCATCCATTGTAAAAATTATCAACAACTTGTAATCAACCATTGTATTCACTCCCAGCCAATCTTACCTTTTTGCACTGTCACTATGTTGAAATGCCCTGTAATATAACCTTCCCCCCACTTAGTTATTATATATCATACTTGTATCACGAGAGACACCTTGCGGGACGCCACAAAACTTGCGTGCCTCCTGTGCTGGCCGCAAAAATGCCGGCAACTTTAAAACTACAAGCAGACATTCTTGGGTACATCCAGGGTGTCATCCACGAATAATAGAGGACCGCAAAATAAATATACATGAATTCCGGGCAAGCTGTACTAATCTGAGTGTTACAAGGAGTGAACATTTTATTTTCTTACATATAATTAACCTTCAAATATAATTTATTGTAGCTTAAATCAGAATCTACCCTCTGTATACCATTAATTTATCAAAGTTAAAAAAATCACAAAAGGACACCAACTCACCATCACTAGCATTGGGAACATCACCATTAACTCTGCGTCGTCTACGGATATTAGCCAATCTAATGCTGCACCCACTTTTCTTTCTTTTAAGAGGCTTTGACTCTGCATTTTCAATTACAAGGTCAGAGTTCTCTTTATCCTCCTTCTGTACTACAGTAGAGTCATTAACATTTTCTTCCTCACTTTTCTGGAAATTAAGATAAAACAATTAACACTTTTCTATACAGAAGCAGTTATAAAAAATGTTGGAAGTTAGCTTCTCAACTACAAAACAATGAATTACATTTATCGGTGTACATAAAAATGAAGGATTGATCCTGAAATTCCATTTCATAATAAGCATTGATCAAGCAACTCATATGCATGTATTAACAAGCTTGCAAGTTTAACACTAGGGTTCCCAGACTCCTCAACTTTATATATACTGTATATACAGTTCCTCCCCGACTTAGGACGGGGTTAGGGACCCAAATCCAGGTCATAAGTCGAAATGGCCGTAAGTCGAAAATGCTTAAATAATACATAGAAAATCTAAAATGGGTGTCTCTTTTTCTTCTCAGCACCACAAAACTCTCACTTTTAAGCTTGCCAGCCATTTTAAAGTGAAGTACAAATGCAAATTTTGTCAGTACACAGCTCAATCACTGACATTGGGACTCAAAAATACGTAATTTGACAAAATTTTGGTACGACTGAGGCGGTCGTATGTCTGGGTGGTCGTAAGTCGAGTAGGTCGTAAGTTGGGGAGGAGCCGTATACACTAGAACTAGGATATAGCCATAGTAAACAGTAGTCAACACACTAGAACTAAGATATAGCCATAACAATCAGTAAACAGACACAAAACTAGGATATATATATAGCAATAGTAATCAGCCATGCTGAATTTATCCACTACAATAAATTAAATATGATATTCTTTCCATTAAAAAGAAAAATGTTTAACCTTTTCATTCTCAGGAAGAAGTCTTGACAGGAATGAGGGATCAACAAGTGAGATGCGTTGCTCCAGGCGACTAGTGACATGGGTAACAAGAGTCATCAACACAGACACGAGAAGGGCTTGTGCCATGCTTGTGTGTGATGACACTGGGGACAAAGATAATCACAGGTCAAAGAGTAAAATCACACAATGAAATAACTAAATTTATTAACTTGTTCTTTTATTCCAAAAGTGTTTCAACATGCATATACAGTATTAAATAAAAGAAGTTTCAGTAAATTAGCTCTGAATTTTGTACCATTATTTTATATAGAAAGCTAAAAAATAAAGTACTGTACAATAAGTCCCCGTTGAACATTAATCCTTTGAACGAATCCCCAGTATAACAAAAGCAAGTTTTTACTCCCCATTTGCTGATTAACCAAAGAATGTTCTACTATTACGAAAGGTAAGTCACCCCCACCTTCCAGCTTTCTCACCCCCACTACCTCAATTAACACCACCTTCCTCCCTCCCTCCCACTCATTCTAATATGACTGCCATTCATGATACAATCTTGTACAACTAAAAATACTTTATTGCCAAACCAGTAAATAAAAGCCAAATGAAAGTTTAACACAGTCGCCATTTGCATACACTCCCTGCTTCACCATAGTAACAGACCAGCTGGGAGCTACCCCGAGCAAGGCCCCCCCCCCCTCCCACACTGAGCCAGCTAACTTGTGTGTAAAGAAATGTATATTCCTTTTATGTGTTTGCCCTGCGGACAATTATTTCTTTACTTTTTTTCACAATATGTATGTAAGATGGTTTGTACATGCAAATTAGTTGAAGAAAGTTACATATATCTACCCAAAAATATGAGTTGAAAAACAACCATAACACCACAGCTTGGCCCAGTAGCCTGGTGGTTACAGTGACAAATCTAACCAGGCTACAGTGCCATGATTAATCACGAATAAACATTATTATAACAGTAAATACTAATAATAACAGTAAATCCAGTGAAATGTGGCAGGGACTGAGGAGAGTTAAGTGCAGATGAAACTCAACTAGCAGTCCCTTGACTCACTTCCCTTACACACACCTGTTGCCAGGTGTATGATCAAAATAAGTATGGGTGAAATACATATCTTGTAGTCTAATTTGAAAACGGTGACAGGCACAGTGATAAACGAATTGTATAAACTATGCATTTACCTACGATAACATGCAGTAATAAGAAACATTGTATCATAACTAGACTGAATGAAATATTCCCATAAACAGCAATTAACTACTGTTTATGTTTCCCACCTCCTCAGGCACCTGTGTCTAGCATAACCGACCGGTCAACCAGTGCTCATGGACCTATAATGTTCTTTGCTCTGTTTTGGGAATGCTTCTTAAAGATGCTTGTGGGAGGCTTCTTAGCCCAGAACCCCCAGATTTTTGGTCCAAAATTTCCAAAATCCGGATTTACCGGGTCCAAATCTTCAAGGGTTTACTATTAAGTTACACACCATTTTTTTACCCAAATAATCCTGAATACTTTATCTAAAAGTTTGGTTAAAGAAATATATCAAAAATAACAAAAGATCTACTATATGATACGGGTGTGAGTGGAGCTGTGTGTTACAGCAAAGACAGTGGTATTTTCCAGGAGTCTGAATGATACATCTCGCAGGAGCTGGATTTATTTACGCAAACACCACTGTACTGCACACATACAATATTGTTCATAATGTAAAAATGTGTACAAATGTACTACTATACTGTATATACTGAACTCAACAGCAGTCACTGTTCACTCGCTTTGAATAGCGCATCACAGTGGTGTGGAGTGAGCTAGCATGGGAGGTCCCACACTGGGGTGGGGGGCCGGGACTCCCGGCCACTACCTTGGTAGTGGTTGGGTGTTGAGTGGAGGCGTCAGGACATGTGTGTCAGTTTTCTATGAATAAATTATATGGGTAGCTTTACTTTTCTTCAACAATGATTGAACAGACTTATTATATTGTTATCCGGGAATACTGTACAGTATTTTACTATAGTCATCACACTAAAAATGGCATAATTATTTCTCCACTACACTGTATGATGCCTGGGTGGCTTGGGACAGTGGATCATGAGTAGCTAATGCCTAGGGAGTGTCCAGTGTTTGAAAAATTGGCACACATATCATGATCCCCGATTGGGTACAGGAACAGTCAGCCATGCCCATCCCCAATCAGGGACAGGGGCAGTTAAAAGGTTAAGGATGTCGAATCCCATTTGATTTTGTCCTTGGTGTTTCTTTTTAATTTTTGAAGTTTTAGCCTCGCTAAACTCATTACTGGGATGTGATCTGATCCACAAATTGCTCCTGGATAGATCTTGGTTATTATTATTGAATTGCTGAATCTTTCCCGAATAAAAATTTAATCTATTTAATTTCTGAGTATGTTGTTCACACTGTACTATAGTGAGACCCGTGTACAGAGATGCCTAGGATGTTGTTCAAACTATCATAGGACAGGACAAATACTTACTTTGCTTTTTGAGCCTTTGAGTACAGATAGATAAAACAGCACATACTGTCACCATGGCTTCAGGAGTCAGACTAAATGGTGCTGTTATCTTGTCTTGAGTTTCTATAGGGGAGTCATGTCCATTTTGGTTTGAGGTTGGTAGGTAGCCATTTGGTGGTAAACCAGAGGGTGGAGGGGATGTCTCTGAGACCTCATTATCAACATCATCATAAGTCTCCAACACTTTCCCAAGCTGAACAAGCACATCCTGACACAACTGAAATTATGGATGAAATTAATTACACCTCTATGATACATGTTGCAGTAGCAATAAATAGTTACAGAATTATGTATTCATAACTTAATCTGGTTTCTCTGTTTACATTTCCTAGGCTAAGTACTTTACATTTGTCCACATTAAATTTCATCTGCCATTTTTCAGACCATCCGAAAATTTTAATTAGATTTTCCTGTAGTTTTGCGGAGTCTTCGTCAAATTTAATTACACGCCCTATTTTGGTGTCGTCAGCAAATTTATTTATGTTGCTGTCTACGCCTATAACTACGTCGTTTATGTATATAATAAATGGTAATGGTCTAAGTACTGAGCCTTGGGTACTCCACTAGCGACATTACCCCAATCGGATTTGGTGCCATTAATACGGACTCTCTGTTTCCTGTCCTGTAACCATGTCCTAATACATCTTAGAACATATCCAATTCCATGAACCTCCATTTACGCATTAGTCTTTCGTGAGGGACCCCGTCAAAGGTTTTGTTAAAGTTGAGGTAAACCACATCATAATCGTGTCTGTCATCCAGTGATTCAAAAACAGTTGAGAAGAATGATAATACATTTGTCAGACATGAACGCCCACTTGTGAAGCCATGTTGGGAATCATTAATCAATTTGTGTTTCTCGGCGTGATTAGAATTGAGTTTGAAATTACTGCTTCCAATAATTTGCCTACCACTGATGTTAAACTAATTGGACAGTAGTTAGAGGACAGTGATCTATTTCTCTTCTTGAAAATCAGTACAGTACAAGTATCACATTTGCTATACTCCAGGACTCTGGCACTTCACCAATTTTTAATGAAATGTTAAATAAGTTTGCTAAGGGCATACTAAGTTCTGCCTTACATTCCTTTAATACTCTGGCAAATATCTCATTGGGACCTGGCAACTTATTAGGTTTTAGTTCATCTATTTGTTTACTAACATCATTACTAGTCACTACAGTACTGAGTACAATTCTGTACAGTATTATATACAAATGAATTTCATGTAATGGTGATGCCGGAATATTATGTCCAAGGGGTGATGAAAGTCAGCAAGAGTTTCTGGCCTGGATATGGTGAAGATATAGGCAATTGTCATTTTGATGTATATTGCATCATAATTAATCATACATTAAAAAAAGTTAACTGTATCAGCATTTATCTTATGGTAATTCAAAATTTTCTCTTTCACTATTGAAAACTTTCATTCTATCATGCAGAGTGACCAGTATCATGAACACCACTCACACTCCCATCTTTTACTGTCATTCATTCTCTTTGCTTTTAATATCACATAATTATATAAAGACTGACCCTTGCAACCTCCTCAGTGGCTCTGTTATTAACAAAGCATGAGACAAGAGTGAGAGAAGTATGCAGGAACATCTTGTGGTAGTGAGAAGGTGTCTTGTTACCTTCCTCCTCCACTCCATTCTCATAGATTGCCCGACTCTTGTCCAGCAGCCTCTTTAAGTTGCCTTCAGCTCCTTCAAAACTCTTCTCACATGTAAGTCTGTAGGATAACAATTCAATTTAAAATCACTTGTTTTTAATATTTTATATTTTAATTTTCTTTTTAATCTCTGGAACTGCAAAACATAATAAAACATTCAACTTACATAATTTGCAGTTAAGCAGCAAAGTTTGCTGTATACTAATACAATGAAGGAGATTGCAAAGATAACAAGATGCCCATGGCCATAAACTGCAGTATTGTATAAACATATTTACCTAAGTGAAAGCTGCAAGTGCTTGTCTATCTGACCAAATCAGTTTCAAATCACACAAAAGAAGCGTGAATGCCAACAACAGCATTCTTCAGAAACAGCATAAACTAAATTTTAAGAAAATAGGTTCAATTCTAAAAAAAAAAAAAAAAAACGTCAACTTGGAAAGAAAGCATTGAAAACAATAAAGGACAATGCAATGATATCACCTTCACATACCCTGTAATTATGTATAAACACCAAAGTTGGTAGTAGTCGATTAGAGTACAGACCAGTCAAATATCAGTAGCCATGGAGGCAAGCTAAGAAATACTGTAAATTTTAAAATTTTGCTAAATTTCAGTATATCCAGGGATGTAATTACCACAAGCAATTGATCAATCAATCAATAGGAACCTTTCCATAAACCAGGGAGTGTCTGTACTATAGTACAGTACAGTTCATTAATTTTTTATATAAAATATATTACCTGATTTATTATTAAAATATATACAGTATTTTCTAACAAAGCCTGAGGTACAAATTGTAACTTAAGTTCATGACAGTAAGTTAAAATCAACTTACGCTCTTAGGTAGTGTGCTGCAGCTAGTAGAGATTGGTCACTTGTAGTGTAGACAGTTGCCAGGTTACTGTGAGTCAGGCCACCTTCTGGGTAATAGTGCAATGCCTGGTGGTCAAGACACAAATAAGTCATAGAATTATAGAATATCTAAACTCCCAATATATATCATGACATGTAACACAAAATAATACACCACACTCTTACCTCAAGTCCTCTACTACACACCACAATACCCAAACACCTTTTAAAGACAGTATTCAATGCATCACTCTCAATTACACAATATCCTTCCATGTGAAAATTTCCTTATTGTTTTTTAAACCAATCTTTAATTTCCTCTGCACATATCCTCACTCTCCTCCAGAAAACTTAAACAGTGCCATTATTTCCTCATCCATCACTGTTATTCCCATAAATTTCCACAACTACAAATAATGCCCTCAGCAAACATCAACTCTGATCATATACGTACCGAATTGGCAGGACGTTGTCTGAATCATGGGTATCTAAACAGTAGAGAGGTTATAATGAAACAACTTTGTCGGGGACAACATTAAACGAGGACTTACTGTATTACAATCGACTTACTTTCCTCCTAATTGTCAATCCTTTTATCCCAACTCAGACTCCTAGATGGAATGTGATCAATTCAAATTGGTCAAATATGCAAAACACACAAGTAAATCCTAATAACAGTGATGCAAAAGCATTTAATGTGAAACTCTCCACGTGGGTTATAACATGACACTTGGACTGACCTGAAGGTAATATCGGACAGGAAGGTGGTGTGGAGGCGGAGATGGGAGGTCCAACATGTAACGGGTTAAGTCGCCCAGACATGTGAGGCACCTGTGTATGGAGTCACTACCACTTTCTCCAGTTGGGGAAGCTACCGTGCTATCCTCGTCATCTATAATGTATTTATCTATTAATACATGAGGAATTTGTCACTGTACCAAACATTATCCAAGAAATAATAAAAAAAGGTGTTCTTGTTGTGCTCCTAACCAGGGTATAAGCAATAAAATGCAAAGGGGCAATGAAGGAACATAATAGGTTGCTGGAGCAGAATGCTTTAATCCAAAGGGACTTGATGAAGTATTTACGAGAAGTGAATTATGCCCAAATTTTACATATAAGTTACAGTATGTGAATTAGGAGTCAGGGTGACACACCTGGGGGAAGTAATGGAACAAAATACTATATATTAAGAAGATATTAATTGCTCAATGGTGTGGTCTGGCCTAAAAAAAGAAAGGTGGTGTGGCAATTACCATATCACTGAGAACAAAGAAACAAATAGATAAATACAGAAGCAAGATCTTTAGAATTATGGGCTTAATGTGCAGGAGGACAGTGGGGTCTCATTTTGTGCGAGTATATTGTACCGGTACACGTCCACGCATCAGAAAAAGCGATGCCCTTTAATGTGTGTTAAAATCACTATATTGTACTGCACTCACCAGACCTTTACTCTAAAATAACTTTGAATAACACACTTAACTTTCCAAAAGCGATACATAATGCCATATAAACTGCAAATACTGCATGGGTCAAGCTTTGGCCGGGTAGGGTAATGTTCGGTGTCACCCCGGGTATATCACATTTTTAATATACAGTATTTGTTTCTAATTATTTGTGAGAGTATTTTACCATTATCATTTATTTGTATGTGTTTTGTGTGTGTGTGTCTACACACACACACACACAAAACACATATATACAATACAGATAAAAGAAATAATTGTCCTAAGGGCAAACACATGAAGGGAATATACATTTCTTTGTACACATGTAAAAATTTACCCCCCCCCCCTCCACCGGTCAGCAAATATTTTTCGCGGATTTGGCGATTCGCAGCCATTTTGAGAACCCAAGCCCCGCAAATTTTTTGGGGGCCCCCCCTGTATATCAATCAATGCTCCTCCCCACCCTGCTATATGGCAGTGAGACATGGATCAAGGAACTTGAAAGCTTTCACAACATAGTTTATGTTCCATACTACGAGTTCGCTGGGAAAACAAGAGGACAAATGCCAGTATTCTCGCTGACACTAACTGTAGCAACATTGAGGCTACCATTGTTCATGAACAAATACGTTGGACTGGCCATGTTACCCGCATGGATGACAGGAGACTTGGCAAAGCGGCTTCTCTACAGTCACCTAACGAATGCTAAACATAACACTGGCGGGAAATGGAAAAGGTACAAGGATACGGTAGTCTTAAAACAAACCTAAAAAAGTGCCACGTGAGAAGGTGTCAATACTTTCGAGTTTGTCCAACTACATACCAAGGCAGACAAGCACCAGAGCCGGAAAGACACTATCGCCGCCCCTCCCACACTAAATGTACCCCTCTACGGGTGCTACGTCTGTGCCGGTTCCGTATTGGTCTCTAGAGTCACCTCAGAGCTCACCAGCGAAGGTGACATCACTAATAACTCATATCACTGTATCATAGCTGGATGATCGTCATATTCGATTCCATGTGACAGCAAAGTAGATCTAATTCACCCACTTCACACCAGGACAAGATCTTATTCACTCTATATATTCCATCTGGTTAACCTGGACCAACCAAACCTCCCCTTATCCTGCAAGTATATAAAAGGTATTACCTTATAAATAATAAATGTCCCAGTCCATAAAATAAATTTCAAAATATAAAAATAATACAAAAATAAACAAAAGCTTCCCTTTAGGTGGTCTCATTTATTTACATCAAACTTTTGTATTTGCACTCTTTCTTCCCAGCTTAATTGCAATAGCGAAATGAGTTTAAGACGATGTTATAATACATTTGTTATAAAAAATAACAGATAATCAGTTTGAAAAAATAAAATAAACTTACACCGTATAGTACTGTACTGTAGTGTATATACAAACCATTATTGGGATAAGGCAAAAGGTCTGCAAGGCGGAACTGTGGTTGGGATGTGCATGTGAAGGAGTGGAGCAGCTGGTGGTAGTAGGCCACTCCCGTCCACAGGTGGTTGTGTACCCAACATGCTTCACCACTGGTCCATGCATTACCCTGAAGCAAATATTAAACTGATGAGTAAAACTTACTCGATATTTGGGCCATGTAACAAAAAAAATCTATCATAAAAATGGACATTTAGTGAATTTAGATCCTCCTCCAGACATAATCAATAAATACCCATACCTTTCTCATTTTCTTTGCTGCAGTAAGTGGTTCATAGTATACTTTACGCCAGAGTATCTCCTCCATGCGGCGTGCCTGGGGACTGGGGGCCAGTAAAATAACTCTTTCGCACGCATCTCTCAGTCTGGCCCGTACCCCAACAGACTGTGCTGTGAACAAGGCCCCCACCACCCCAGCCTCACCCAGTGCTGCATTAGCACGACGAACACACTCGCTCACATGCCTGAGAATAAATAAAATAAAATTAATAATAATAATTAGCAAGAAAAAATATCAAAAGTACCCACTAAAATAATAATCTTGTAAGCATTTGAAAAAATACAGTACCTTACTCCGAGAACAACAAGTGATTGTAACTTTCTTTCAGACAACAACTGGCACATCTCGGAGAATTTATTCAGGATCATTATGGTATCAAATTTATCTCTCTAACCCAATCAGAAGTTCAAAACAAATGCTGTGAGGAAGGGAGGTAAGGAGGGAGAGGGAAATGGGTCCATTGGAGGGTAAATGTTACAGCACTTCTCCCCCAGCAAAAGGTTGCCTCTCACTCAGTGTTTGTCAGCAATTCCTGCCTCATTCATGATACAATATTGTTTATTTGTTATTCATTACATAGTAAAGATATGCTACTATAATAATCTATGCTTATTAATACCTGTACCCTTCATATACATAAACGTGTACAATATACAGCACTATGTACACTACTGTACAGTATATACCTTATAGGTAAAAAATAATGTTATCAGAAACACATTTCCATACAGCAATGGTACAAAATTCATTTCTCTAACACAATCAAAGCAGATGTTGTGAATAAATGTTTACTAAATACACTTTTTTGCTAGCATCCTCGCGCCTCAAAAATACCTTAGCTTTCGTCTTTATTCAAGACATCTTCAGGTCATGAGACCCATTAAATCCCCACTCAACAATGGGTGACCTGTCATTGCCTCAGGTTAGGTTAGTAACATGACCCAATAATCCCCCACCCAACCTCCATCACAAGTGTTAAGATGTAATTACAGTTATGTATCAGTCAGCTGATTGAAGTGTCTGCCTACTCCAGGCTAAAGATGACAGGATCTGTTGGCAAGTACAGTATATGCAGTATAGTAGTACAGTACAGGAGCTCCAGGACTTACAAACTAACACCGATATGAACTGGGTAAAACTTGAAATTTACAGTACAGGTATTTTATTTACCTAATGACTTATTTTTTACTTTCATTTACTGTATTTTGTCATTCTATTTCTCCTTTTGTCTTAAATTAAGTGATTTTAGATGTATATAAGGACTTAGGCTATGATATAGTGGGATTTTAAACATTGTGTTGTAAGTACAGTATATGAACCTCATCATTTATAGCGACACAGAATAGGTTTAAGAACCGATTATGCCAAGAGAAAAAAATAAGGAAAAGAATCATGGAAGTGAAGCCTATAACATAAAAAACAAGACAGTCAAGCCAATATTTTTGGTAACACCTGATGTGAGGCTCTGTAGTTTTTTTAAAGTTAACCAATACTAGATTCAAAATGTATTAGTTTAGTAGCACTTGTAAACACATGGAACCATGGGAGAATTATCAGCTGAACATTTATGGTAAATAGTTCATTTCTTCACAAACAATGCACATAGACATGATATGACAGCGATATAATCAGTTTTTTGCCACTTTTTATCCTGTAACTTCCCTCATCTTTAATGCACTGCCCACTAAAGGTGATTTATGATTGCAGAGAATAACGGGAAAAAATATTGAAATTTAAAGGATTTTTTTTTATTAGTTACGACGTAGTTACTATCATTCAAACAATGGTAAATCTTCACTATCGGAGAACACACGCATCTTAAGAATTTTATCTTTGCAATCAACACTTCAGACAATTCTAAGACACTTTTCTTCTCTGACGTTTCCCTCGCAAATAACTTAACCTAACCGCCTAACACGGGGGCTTCGATCTGCTCCCCTGGATCCCCCGACATATACTGTATAAGTGTCTTTGAATTGTCTAACCTACCTATAGTAAAGATAATATTCTAGCAAAGGTGAAGGAGACTGTTAGCACCAGATCTTACTCATGGAATTGAACCAAAACTTCTGGAAATACTATTTGATGATACTCAACATGAAAATGGAAGCAAGAATGCAGAAAACCTATTGGAACCTGATCTAACCAACCTAAAGCTCTGGTTACATTTTTGTGCAATAAATCCATGATTCCATTTCATCCTCAGGCAATAAGTCAAGGGTACAATCCACACACTGGTGAAAGGAACCATTGGTCAGGCACCCAACTCGTGCGGCTAGTTTGAGCTCATTTGGAGAGCAGAATTGCTTCATTGTATGTTTCTATGGCAGCATTAACCACTTTAGTGAGATGTGTGGTCCTGTTAAAGAAGACCAAGACAAGAAAGAAACAATTGTGGGGACTAACAGTATCCATAATGAAAATTTAGTGTGCGTTTGTAAAGTCTAAGCGATGTTTGTTTCCAAAGGTGATGCAAGTACGCGAGTGTCAAATGACATTCCTGTCGTAATGTATTCTTATTACTACTTTTTATTTACTATGACATTCTTGCTCATGTTTCGCTATTGAAATACACTCTTTATATTTTTGGTACATTTTAACATTAATAAGAAAAAATAAGAACCGTAAATTTTATTAATACAATACTGTCTATAGCAAACGTCAACCCACCATACCGTGGATTTTCAGACGCTCCGTATCGTTCCACTTTCGACAACAAATAAGTTGTCACTGTAGAGACGTCTTCAGGAGTTCATCGTTGAAAAATCAAAGCTACGGTGAATTTATTTTGGGTAGAAACTCATGTGTGACCACAGCTTATCCTTACATAACCAAGCTAACCTCGCCTAACTTGCCAACCTGTGCATTGTGGTTTTGATTTTCTTACTATCATCCAAACAACATCTCTAGAAATAATGAATGAATTCAATCCGATTAATACAGTATTGATGACTGGCCCATGAATGAGTTATTTGTTTTACTGTTTACTTTCTTATTTTATTTTCATCAGTGTGTTCTGATATGATAATGATTGTTTGTGCAAATGCTTTGTTGGTAGATTTTGTAATTTAGCACCTAAACGGACAATACTTTGTGTTCTTATCGGTAATGTCGCGGTCAAGTCTCATCCCTGGATGTAAAGAGTCAATCAGCTTGATCAACGCCGATGCTCAGGGTATGCTTAAGAAACACTTGGTACGGACGGCTGCTCTCACGTCGACAAAAAATGTAAAATTAAGTAGGTTAGGCAGGTTTGTTTGGTTAGACTGGTGCGGTCTTCTAACATCACTTCTGCTGCTTGTTTTTCATATAAGCTAAGGTTAGGTTAGGTTAGGTTAGGTTATGTTTAATTTAGAAACAACTACTTTTTCAATATATTTGCACAAACTACGAGTGTCACTAAAAACAAAGCGAAATTGCGGCGTTTTAATAATCGTTTTCAATGAAAAATCGGCCGCGAGTCAGTCGTCAATAATTACCTTCAATCCAATGTAAATGGTAATAAACATGCCTGATCTGAGATCGCTGTTGTTTCTTGACATGTAAACAAAGACCCGCAGATGCTACCACATAGCAGACACGCAGTGGCTCCTGAATGTACCTCAACCTGCTCCAGTGTTGGTCAAGTCTGGCCTTGAAACAGCTCACACTCGGTGCCTTCACAACACTCTCTCGCAGGTTGTTCCACGAGTTCACAACTCTCACTCCGAAAAGGTTTGCCTTCTCCTCCACTTTTACTATATTTTTCATTAGATAGCTGGATAACCCAGACGATTAATCTTACCTATTACTGCTGTACATCAGTAATGTAAACTATACCATTGCCCTGAACCTAACCCTTAAAATAAGTTATCAAACAGTCACAATCTTAAGTCAGTAAATCAGTAATAAAAGTTTTGATTGATAAAAAATAACAGTATAAAAGTAAATAAGATAAATTTTAGAGGCAAGCAACAAAGTACACACTTGTCTGGTATATTACAAGACTGTACCACCAAGTGAGCACCAACTATAACATGGTACAGTAGTGTGGCAGAGGGCAGTTTATCTTTACAACCTTTCACTTAACCTAACACTTTTGGGGGGGATTTCCGGGCACTTCGCCTCCTTTCACGAGGGCCAAGTTAATAAATATTAAGGATAATACAGGTAATAGATACTAACAGGTCCTTATAAACACAAGAATTTTGTTAAGTTTCACTTCACATCCTTGACCCGATGTTGTTGCAGGCTGACTAAGAAAGACGACTTCCACTAATATTAGATGCCCCACTTACTTGGTAAGCTTTTTAACTTGCTCCAGGTTGTCAGCCCTCTCCCCTGTAGTCAGTGTTGATCTCTTCATGGCCCTGTTGCTTCATCATATCACAATCCTTCGAGAATTGCGACGAGAGATGTTCCCGTACGTGTCATCGGACATCCTCCACCAGGTCCCGAGGTGATAAGGAGCCTTGAGTGTCGTACCTCTCACTTATACTCGAATCTCTTATAAAACAGACAAACATGTTTGCATGGAAGATTTTACGTTAATAATAAAAATAGCCTTATAAATTGTGAAAATCAGTCGTAAGGTTCATTTGAGCACCAGCCTCCTAATGTTCTAAATTTTCTGGAACTGAACGGAAATATTATATATATACTCTCTCTCTGTATATATATATATATATATATATATATATATATATATATATATATATATATATATATATATATATATATATATATATTGTATTGCCTATAATAATATTGGTAACCACTGGTTCCCAACGGCCAGGGTCGTGTGTACAGCAGTAGATATCTCACAAGAGTTGTCCACTTCCCCCTGGCTGTCCCGCCAGTCCCCGACGGTCGGTGTCAGTGTACAGACACACAACAGGCAGGTAGAGTTCCACCAGGACACAGAAACACTTCTGTGCACTGTAGTCTTTTTTAATAAACAGTAATCCTTCACAACACTGTTAACAGGGTAATGTGACCGATCGCCCAAGCGGCTAACGAGCCGATCAGTGGTGAAGAGGATAAAGGTAAAAGTTCAGATTAACTCCACACTTCAAATCTCTAGTCAGCACACTACCAGTATACAATTCCTTAGTCTTCTCACTTTATATTAATCCCAACAATTCCACAATACTTGCACAACAATTGTCTTCAGTTGTTCTGCTAGGCTTACACCCGTATTATTAAACATCTTCCCTTGAAGAGGTTCGTCGTGTCGTAAACCCTATGTTAAATGTGAAGGATCTTTGCTGGCGGGAACATTAACTAATATTACTGAAATATGAAGCGGTAGCTAGTACCTGCTTCTCGTCACCCTCTTCATAATTGTTTTGTTAGTTTTATTGAATATTTCTAGTCAATACGATTGGTAATTTTATAAATCTATTTTTCTTTACATTATTATGACATTACAAAAGCTGTGTTTCCTGTCAGTGCCAAATGCAAGCTGCTGGAGTCATCTCTTACTAACGCTGGTACTAATCAGGAAAGCACATCTAAGGTAATTTATGAAACTTTTTAGCAGTTTTATAAGTGAGTTTCTGCCTGAAAAATATAAACTAGCGACGTTCTTGCCTAGACATATTAAAATGGATAAAGGCAAATTTCACTGAGAAAATCGTCACCAAACCTTATTCGGCATATATTAATTAAGTACAATGAAGTTACTTAATTATTTTTTTATCAGTCTTTAACCATGACAATAGTTATTGATGATACCTACAATGTATTCAGTCGTCCTGTGGTAGGGGGTGGGGACTTTTTATATATATCGAGACTGAGTGAAGTTTCTCCTCTTATTTTCCTCTTAAGAATTTTCCTAATTCTTTCTTTATATATATATATATATATATATATATATATATATATATATATATATATATATATATATATATATATATATATATATATGTGTGTGTGTGTGTGTGTGTGTGTATATAGCTCTCTCTATTTTCTTTTTCCTTTATTTTCTGTTCTTTGTTACTTTTCTCTTTTCAGTTATATTCTGATCAAGTTTTATTCTGACCTTGGGCTTTCCTGAGAAACTCCTTGTTGTGTTATAATCTTCATTATTCACGGTCGCTGCCACCACCTTGGTTTTTCTACCAGAACATTAATCACTTAACTAAGGTGATAGTAACAAGGCACGTGGGTGGTATCAACGTGGCGAGTGTCTGGGGCACGTAGATTTGTTTGTATTTAATGGTATGAAGGTATGAGGAAAAACAAAGGTGAATACTGCAGGAGAATGATGCCCCCAACATACAATAAAGATAATTTATTTAAAATTAAGTTGAACACCGGACACTTTGTCGGAATATTCATCTATAAACCACTCCTTGGGGTTCACTCAAGACTTTGCCAAATTTACGTTAACACTGATAACAACAACAGAGACCACCTGGCCTTACTTCTACATCAGTCACTAAGATTTCACGTCACCAGGACCAATGTTCAGTCAAAAGTACTACTGTATACTGTAGGTTTCTAGTAACATTCTATGACAGTGACACACAACAAGGACTGGTCGTCCACACTTCAATTTTATACTAAAATGTCATTTATGAAGCAAACAAACAACAGTGGGCCCAATACATTGCCATGTGGTACCCCGCTTGCGACAGGTACAGATGATGATTTCGTGCCATTAACCACCACACACTGCTTGCGGTCATGGAGGAAGTCTCCAGTCCACGCTAGGACATTTCCCCGAATTCAGTACCCTTCCAGTTTAATTTTCAGCCTTTTATGGGGTGCACTGTCGAAAGCCTTGGCAAAATCTAGGTATATATTGTCAATATTACCACCCTGTTTCAGAATATGGGTCCAAATATCGAGTACCGTGAGTAATTGTGTTAGCAGGAGCGCCCCGGCATAAAATCGTGTTGGCAATCCTTTACAAGGTTGTTTCGTAGTAGATGTTCCATCGCGGCATCTCTGATAATACTCTCAAGTACTTTACATACTATGCTGGTCAGGCTCGCCGGTTTATAGCTGTTCGTGGAGTGACTATCTCCCTTCTTGAAGATACGACTAACATAAGCCATTTTCCAATCAATGGGGACCTTTTGTTCATCCAGGCATTTACAGAACAGGATCTTCAGGGGCTCGGCAAGCTCGTTGCACAACTCTCTTAGCACTCTGGGATGCACCATGTCAGGGCCGGTATGAACCTTTAGCTTTGACAGTTTATTTCTTCGGTGAACACAAAGTGGGCCAGTGCTGTGTCGAACAGTCTGTCCTCAAACGCAGGTAGGTTAATTGCATCCTCTTGTGAACACCGAGGAAAAGAAGCTGTTCAATGCCTCAGCTTTATCCTGGTCAGAATCTGCGAAACTACCATCTTCAAGCCTCAGGTCTGGTACTCCTACTTGCGCTTTTAATTTCGACTTTGCATAGCGGTAAAATGCCTTTGGGTTTGACCTGACCTCTCTTGCAACCAGCCTCTGGAACTCCTTTTCAGCCCTTCTACATTCTGAATTTGCTTGGTTCCTGGCTCTTGCATACATCCTCCTGTCCTGCTCATCGTTTGACCTCACCCACGCCTTGAATTTCTGGGTTTTCTTCTTAACTTTGTCGACCGCCGAATGGTTACATGTGTAGGGATCCCCTCGTATTCCTAGAGGCACTGGGTTTGGCCTTGGGTATATATTTATCGCTTAAATGGTTCACTTTACTAACTATGATATTCAGCATAGTGTCTGCATTTTTATGCCATTGTGAGTCAGGCCAGTGGATACCCCTCATCTCCTCCCTCATCTCGTCGTAATTTCCCTTGTAATATTTGCACCTTGGCCTGGCTTTGTCATGAACTAGGTAACAGTTAAATTTGAGTGACATTACATGGTGACTGGTGCCAACTGGGGCTAAATGTTCCAGTTTGGCCACCATACCCTCCTTGTTTGTTATGATGAGGTCCAGTGGCTTGGGTGTTTGATTCCCCCTGTAATGTGTCTGGTCTCTAACATGTTGGAACAGAAAATTATCTCTCAGAGTTTCTACAAAAAGAGTAGCAGGGTTATTCAAGTCGTTTGGTGTGAACTCATTTCTCCAGTCAATGTCACCATAGTTAAAGTCCCCCATGATAAGGAGGTGACCAGGGTTGAGCCTCGCTGCATTGTCTATTAAGGCTCTTACGCCAACAGTGCGTAACAGAGACGTGACCGATCGCCCAAGCGGCTAACAAGCCGATCAGTGGTGAAGAGGATAAAAGTAAAAGTAAGAGACGTGGCTGGAGTGGCGAGTCAGCCACTTCACTCACTTTCACTGATCCACACAAACACCCATGCTCTTCATATGTCTTCGTTAAAGTTTTATATGAGGTGCTCCGCATTACAAGGGGGTAAAGCGCCACCCCGGGCAAAATGTGTTTTTTGATGGATATCACTATGTATTTTCTCCCTTCCTCTACATGTTGGCATTGGATGTAACCCCCTAGGTAAACTAGAAATATGGTTGAAAGGCCTTCAAAAATAGGGTGTCATTTCGCCTCAGGCTGGGAGCTATGTATCTGGCTGTGTGCTCAGTAAGAAAAGGTGGTCACATCCCGTTCAGAATGGCAGGAGCGCGGGCCAATGACAGTGCGCGTCCTGCGGACCATACCCCCTGAGTCGGCCAATCACAATAGATTTCCCTTGCTACATCACACCTCCTTGGCCAATCTGGGCGCCCAGATGCTGCCTCCCTGTAGTCTTGCCGCGCTGCGGTTCAGTGTTTCTATTGCTATTTTGGATAACTTTTCGGCATAACATTGACGTTATTCGTGTTCCACAGGTGTGAGAAGCGCTACACAATGTCTGGCCGATTTTAGAGCAAGATTCAAGTGAGGCCAGGCCTTCTGGTGTGGGTTCAGGAGCCCTAAATCCTGAGCGTGTGTCTAGTGACGGCAGTGCTCACGTGGACACCCCAGCCATGCTTGGTGATAGCGATTTTGGTGGTGAATTTAGTGGTGATTATGGTGATGAAAGTGCTACTGGCGATGGTGATGGCCATTAAAGTTATGCACACTCCTCAGGATTTACGTAACTTCAACTTAATACAATCGTCAGGGATAATAAAACGAAGGAACTAAACAAAGTCAAATTGTAATACTCTTGTCATAATACTGTTTTTACCAAAGATTATGCAAACTTTCTCCGCCTTTGTATTAATATGTTAATTACGTTGGGGGGGGGGGTTGAGTGGTGGTGTTTCCTTATTATTCCTCACTATTATACTGAACAATATTATAAATTTTGGGCTAATAATAGGGATGGAAAAAGATAAATACTGATAGGCAAATGAATATTTTTATTATTTAATTTTGAGGAGGGTTGGGGGGGGGGGTAGGTGTAAGACGAGTGTTGTTTTTGGTGACCATTTACTTGTTTTACAGTATTAGTCCACAATAATAAGAACATTTTGCAGATAAACACGGTTATTGTTGGTCTGAAGATCAAACAACCATACATGACGG